GAGACCCTGAAAGTCCTTGGAAGAAAATAAAGCAGGGGGACAGGATCGACCCTATGGGAGGGGGTGTGGGTGCTTCACAGCAGGTGATCCGGGCACTTCCCTGAGGGTGGGTGTTGGAATTGAGGCCCAGGCGGTAGGAGGGAGAGCCAGCTGACGGTGGCGAGGAGGGAGTCCAGCCCCGCAGAGCCCTGAAGCCCGCAAGGACAAGGAGAAGCAGGAGGGATCTGCACTGAGTATGACGTTTGTCAGAGGGAAAACAAATCTCTGTGAACAGCAAGGGTAAATTAGGCACTACGTTGGGTTTGGTGGGCGGGTGTTCATGCAGCCCCCAATTCAGGGCACTGTCTGCTTTTCAGGATCCCCAGAGAGGGTGCACGGAAACCCAGTACAGGAGGGAAAGATGGGGAGGGGGGGTGTCCCGGGAAGAGGTGCTCCGCTGGGAAGGGCCAGGAGATGGCAGAGGATTACGCTTCCTGGGGAACTCGGGTGGTAACAAGTCAATGACATGACCATAGAGGGCTGGAAGAGGCAGCTGGTTGTGCCAGGCTTCTCCACCCACCCAGGCCATACACAGCAGTTGGTCCAGTAGGTCACCTTTGAAGGTGGAGGATGTCACAGCACCAACTGTCCCGGGTGCCAAATTGAGTTAGAAAGAAAGTAAAAGGGACAGCCTGGGTGGCTCAGTGGTTTAGCGCCGCCTTCAGCCCAGGGCGTGATCCTGGAGACCCAGGATGGAGTCCCACGTCCGGCTCTCTGCATGGAGCCTTCTCCCTCTGCCTGTGTCTCTGCCTCTCTCTCTCTCTCTCTCTCTCTCTCTGTCTCTGTCTCTCATGAATAAATAAATCTTTAAAAAATAAAAATAAATTTAAATTTAAAAAGAAAGTAAGAGCAAAATCAGCTACAGGTGCAAATCCTTCGACCCAGCCCCCTCACTTCTAGGACTCTGCCCTTCAGATACACTGATGTCAACATGCAGAGAAATAAGTGTAAGGGGGGTGTCTGGCTGGCTCAGGCAGGGGAGTGAGTGACTCCTGATCTCGGGGTCCTGAGTTCAAGCCCCACATTGGGAGTAGAGATTACTTAAGAATAAAATATTAAAAAAAAGAAGAGGGAGAAGAAGAAGAAGAAGAAGAAGAAGAAGAAGAAGAAGAAGAAGAAGAAGAAAAGAAAGAAGAAGAAAAGAAGAGGAGGAGAAGAAAGGAAAGAAGGAGGGAAGGAAGGAAGGAAGGACGGATGGATGTAAGGACGTCCGGCAAGGACCGAAGTGGCCACCAGCAGGGAACCAGTGAGTACACTGTGGCATCAGCAACAAGGTGGACTGGCTGGAAGAGAACCATCTCGGAGGGGTCCTGGTGGGATGAGAAGCTTGGTTGGAGGATGGGCTCTCTGCTCCACACCCTGCCCCCCTGCAGCTCAGGGACCCCCCACCCCCAGCCCAGGGAACCCCAGGACTCGGGCTGAGCAGACTGTCCGGCTCCCTGGGGTTGGGAAGAGATGCAGAGAGCTCCACCAATCTGGAAGGCGGGCACTGGTGCTCCCTCAGGAGCCAAGGAGAGAGGGCGAGGCGGGGCATGAGGCCACACCTGTCGCTCTGGTGCAGTTCCACCTGGCGGATGCTTCTGGAAGGACGCCCAGCAGACCTGAAGAGTGGTTCCCTGAGGGAAGGAGGAGAGTGGCCTCAGGGAAAGTGGTTAAAGGATGCTTGGTGTAAAAATGCAGGAGCAAAGGGTCCCTCTTGAAGGTTCAAGGGATCTCTTGTACTTATGAATAATTTCCTCCCAAGCCTCTGATGAGGTCACTAGCAATGCTCTAGATCCACAAGGTCTCTTTTTACCCCCATTTTCCTTTTGTGGGAGAGCCAGACATCATCATGGGGGAGCACCTAGTAGTTGGCATTTACTGCTCTGCGTCCTAATCTTCCGGGAGGTCTAACCGTTCAAGCCAATCTGTAGCCACCTCGTAGGCTCCTAGATCTTTCTCTTACACTGGACTCGAGGCCACTTGTAAAAACTTACCCTCTTCTCTGCAGGGGCTCCTTCCTAGGGTCTGGAATTCCAGCTGGACTCACTCCCAGGTGGTAAAGCAGTGCCTCCCAGACGTGAGGCATTCGAGAACCACCCTCAGGATTTTTGTAAACGCTCAAGGCCACCTGTCCTTTCGTTGACATAATATTTTTCTTAAGTGACTCACTTTCAAAACTTCAAATTTGTCTATAAATAGCTTTACTTCTTATAAACAGAAAGAACCTTAAAAATAAATGTAATAAAATCTAAACAACGTTGTTAAATTCTAGCCACACTATAATCTGCCTGAAGTGCAGCTTTTTCTTTTTCTTTTCTTTCTTTCTTTTTTTTTAAGATTTTATTTACTTATTTGACAGAGAAAGAGCACGCAAACGGGTGGAGCAGTAGGGAAAGGGAGAGGCAGACGCCCCCCTGATCAGGGAGCACAATGTGGGGCTCAATTCCAGGACCCTGGGATTATCACCTGAGCCAAAGGCAGATCCATAACCGACTGAACCACCCAGGTGTCGCCTGCCTTCTTTTTTTTTCCTTTTTTAAAATGGCAAGTGTTGAGTCAGGCTAGCACCAAACTGGGTCTCTTTCCTTGATGGACTGAGGAGGATTAGAATGGGGACTTTCTCACTATGTGTTTCAGTGTTAATTTAATGCCCTATCAATCAATGTTCCAACCAAATCATGCCCTGGAGCGTCTGAACTTCACACTTTGGAGAAAACGGAGTTTGAACTTTTTCCTCCCTCTTCTGGAAAGTTTTAGTTATGTGTCCGTATGCTCTTGTGTCATCTGAACTGGATAACATATGAAGTCCGCTATCACCCTGGTGTTGATGGCCCTGCCTGCTCTGGTTGGCATTTTGGCAGGGGTCAGAAATGTATCTGTTTGGAAGCAGCCCATGGTGGCAGTTAAGAATGATGCAGGCGTGGGGCACCTGGGTGGCTCAGTCGGGGAAGCGTCTGCCTTCAGCTCAGGTCATGATCTCAGGGTCCTGGGATGGAGCCCTGAGTTGGCTCCACACTCAGTGAAGAGTCTGCTTCTCCCTCTCTCTCTCCCTCTCCTTCTCCCTCTGCCCCTTCCCCAACTCTCTCTCTCTCTCTAATAAATAAAATCTTTTTTAAAAAGTGGCACCTGGGTGGTTCAGTTGGTTAAGCATCTGCCTTTGGCTCAGGTCATGATCCCAGGGTCCTGGGATGGAGCCCCACATTGGGCACACTGCTCAGCAGGGAGTCTGCTTCTCCCTTTCCCTCTGGCCCTCCCTTCCTCGCTCATGCTCTATCTCTCTCAAATAAATAAGCAAAATCTTTTTTTTTTAATGATGCAGGCGTAAACAAAGTAGTATTTGTCCTTTTAAAAAGAATTGGAAGCATCTCGAAGCTGGTTCATTGGGTTCTTCTAAGTGATGGTGTGCAGACTCACAGCTGGGACTCCCCAGGTGGGGCTCTGCAGCCAAGGCTCCTGGCTGGTTGTTAGTGAGTCCTGGGTCTTACGGAGTCACCCTGTGCGAGCGCACCAGTGTCCGTCCCCATGACGGAATGAGTCCCATGAGTAAGAGTCAGCATGGTCAGACAGGACAAGGACTCTTGTGCGAATGCCTTTGGCACCTTTTGAGGAGCTCTCCAGCATCACTTTGAAAAAGCAGATACAACCCCAGTTCTTTTGCAAGATTTCCAATTTAACTTTGCAGTTGCTTCCCGTTGCATATTATTCAGACTGTCCAGCCACAGTAAAAAAAAAAAAATACCCTGAAATCTCAGTGTTTTAACCTCCAGAGAGGCTTGTTTGTCCATCACAGTATCAATCCAAAGTGTGAGGCTTCCAGGGGAGGGATTTGGGAGAGCTCACACCTGCTCTTCAGCCCCCAAATGCCTTGCACCAGGGTTGCTACAGCCCATTGCCCAGAATTAGGCACAAGGCTCCAGTCTAACCACAGGGGAGGCTGGGATATGCAGCCCTTCCAGGTCCCGGGAGAAGAAAGTGAATCAGCAGCCGTGGGCCCTACACTGTGTCTTCACTTAGAGGTAGACGTCAAGAGGAGGGGGGTTTGCGTGGGGATTAATTTGACAGATGGCCGTATCATTAGGGAATAGTTTTGTGTTGGGATCAATTTTACTTTGTTATGCACCGTGGCTGTGATCTGAATACTCAGACCCTGCACCTCCCCCCGCCACCCCTTAGGCCATGACCCCCCCGCCCCCGCCCATGGCATTGCCACCATTGCCTGGTGGGTGGCGGGTGGGGAGCAGCCCTCTAGCCCATATAGAGCCACTCCTTCCTGCCCTGGCGCCAGCTCTGAGGAGGTGCGATGCTTTTCTGAATTGGGGATTTTAATTGGTCCTCACCTGTCCTCCACCAGGAATATTTGGCATCTGGGTGCAACAAGGAGCAGCTCCTTAGGCCAGATTTTGTTCAGTAAAGTCTCTCCAGGGGAGGAATGATGAGAAGAGACGTTTTAGATTTTCTTTTTTTTTTTCCTTTTTAAGATTTATTTTATTTATTTTATTTTATTTTTATTTATTTATTCATGAAAGACACGGAGAGGGAGAGAGGCAAAGACACAGGCAAAGGGAGAAGCAGGCTCCGTGCAGGGAGCCCAATGTGGGACTCGATCATGGGTCTCCAGGATCACACCCTGGGCCAAAGGCAGCACTAAACCGCTGAGCCACCCAGGCTGCCCGATTTTATTTATTTATTGAGAGAGAGAGAGAGCAAGTGTGGGAAGGGGCAGAGGGAGAGGGAGAGAGAATCCCAAGCAAACTCCCCACTGAGTGCGGAGCCTGACTCAGGGCTTGATCTCAGGACCCTGAGATCATGACCTCTGAGATCATGACCTGAGCTGAAATCGAGAGTTGGATGCGCAACCAACTGAGCTACTCAGGTGCCCCAGTTTTTGATTTTCTAAAACCCCCACTAAAAATTGCCTGTTTTTCATTTAATTTTGTTCTGGCATTGACAAGTGTATCTCTGTCTCACGGTCCCTCTAGCGTCTCTCTCTCCAGGCTTTAAAGCGCGACCCCCGCCCCACCGTGCCCCGTGAAAATGTTGGTGCTCCTGGCTTTCATCATCCTCTTCCACATCACCTCCGCCGCATTGCTGTTCATCGCCACCATCGACAATGTAAGTTCCCTTTCCTTCCGACCACCCGGAGCCCCTGGGTCCTGCAGTCCTTGGAGGCAGGATTGAGAGCTTCCCCAAGGGGATGAGGATTTGGGCCCGTCCTCCCTACCCAGACACGCCCATCTTGACTCAGGCCCAAGGACTCGGCCTACCTGTGGAGGTTCGGAGCGTCTCTGGTTAGGCCTGGATGTGCGGGGACCTGGCTGCTCTCATCCCTGATTCCCCCACAGAGCCTGGTGTGGTGCCTCTGGTGTCGCAAACTCTTGGAGGATGCTGCTTGAATCCGACCCTCTTCTAGATAAACGTCTCAGCCTCGGCAGTGTGCCATATGGGGCTGGATCATTCTTTGCTCTGGGGCCCTCCTGGGCCCTGTAGGGTGCTCAGCAGCATCTCTGGTCCCTGCCCACTAGATGGCAACCCCTCCCACCCCTACTTGTGACAACCAAAAATGTCTTTGGACACGGCCAGATGTCCTGAGGGGGAGCAAGACCGCTCTCATTGAGGACCACTGCTCCAGATCCCCCAGGTGACCCATCCCAGGTGCTCTCCACCCCTCCTGCCTTCATCTTCTTACAAATCAGGAACCCAATTGATAGTCACCTTGCCCTGCCCTCCCTAGCAGAGCTCATGCCTGGAACTCTCCTGGCTGCCCATGCCCCCCTGGAAAATTGAACGTTTCACTTTAGCATCCAGTTTGCAGCCATATGGCAGGGATGCATTTGATAAATGACCTATTGGTATAGATTACTGTCTCTCCTAGCAGGAAATGAAGCTTTGTGCCAGACAGTGGCCCATACCTTGACCCAAAGGCCTGGCTTCAGTCCTGACCATTTCAAACTGAGAGGCGTCTCGAGTCAGAAACACTGCCCAGAAAGCCACCAGGCACACCCCACTGGTGGCCAACAGCTCTGCCGACATCTAGGCTCCTGTTGATTAATCATCACAGAGCAACATAGACCATCCCAACCCCTGCCACTTAGAGAGTGCTCACTCCAGCCAGGTCCTGCGCTCGGCCCTTTTACCTGCATCAGCTCATTTGGTCCTCACCTCAAGCCTACGAGACGGGCCGTCTTCTGGCACCACCTCGGGGCAGCGGGGACACCTGTGGAGTCTCTGCTGCAGTGAGTGGGGGAGCTGGGATTTGAACCACTCCCGACCCTAGATCCCGTAAGGGGGTTAAATGCAGTGATGGGTTTGGGTTCTTGCAAGTTCTCAAGTTGCCGTGAGTGGCCAGGGCAGAGAGCACACTGATGCTGTGGCTTAAAGTATTTGGACTGTCATTATCCAGAGGGCCCATGCTCTGTGAAATAAATGGTAGTAAATGTTCTTTCTTTTTTTAAGATTTTATTTATTCATGAAAGACACACGGAGAGAGAGACATAGAGGGAGAAGCAGGTTTCTTGCGGGGAGCCTGATGTAGGACTCGATCCCAGGACCCTGGGATCACACTCTGAGCTGAAGGCAGACATTTGACCGCTGAGCCACCCAGGTGCCCCAGTAGTGAATGTCCTTCTGGAGGCTCCTTTTTCTATGCCTTGCATCTACCCCTTTGGGATCCTGAAAGGGATGGACGGACATTAGGGGGAGAAAAGCCATTGGCCCCAGCACCAGTTAATCCTTTGGGGGCACCGCTGGGTGTTTGTGTTGCTGTGGCACTTACGAGAAGACACAGATGGGCCTTTTTTTTTTTTTGCCCACCAGGGACTCCTGTGGTGTTCATCTGAGTTAGGAATTGGGCTTGGCATGTGGCTGGCACATAGTAGGAGTTTGGTGAACGTTCCTTGACTGGAGGAAGGGAGGGGGAGATTCCAGTCTGGATGGATGGAAGGCAGAGAAGACAGGCAGAGGCAGAGAGGCAGAAGGCCTCTGATAGGAGAGTTGTGTCATTCCCTCCATAACAGGCCTTGGCCCTGGATTTCAGCCTTCCTGACTCCGCTTGACATCGCCCCCCTAGTTCTTGGGGATTTACCACTGTGCACACTTGTCATCACCAGCTAAGCCTCGCTGCTCTCCTGCGCCCCGTGAGGGCCCAGCCCGCGACTTACCTTTGAGCAGCCCCACAGCATGGGGCTCACCGGGGAGCCTGCTGCAAATGCAGAAGCCCAGGCCCCACCCCCGACCCCTCACATCAGAGCCCGCGCTCTAACCTGATTCCCAGGTGACTCATGTGCACGCGGCACATGGAGAAGCGCTGGTCCCGAATATTTATTTACTGCTGTGCCTTACACTCGAGTAGAAGGCAGCGTTTTCATGATTAACACGCAGCCCCTCCCTGTGTTTCCTACGTTACAGGCCTGGTGGGTAGGAGAAGAGTTTTTTGCAGATGTCTGGAGAGTGTGCGTCAACAATACGAATTGTACAGAAATCGGTGCCAACTTTCAGGGTGAGTGCCCCGCTGATACGGAAACCCCTAGTGAAGGAGCGCTCAATCTAAGGGCTCCTCTGTTCTCTGCTGTCACACCCTCCCCTGCACACTTGGGTGCCCAGAGGGGCCTGGCCGGGGGCTCAGCCCGGGCTGGAGATGGGAGGAGTAGGCAGAATCTGGAGGCTGGGGGCTGAGTTGGGTGCACCCTTCCCTTCCCCATTTCTGGGCAGAGCTTCTGTGTGTCACCAGGGGTCAGCGGAGCTGTGTGTGGTGAGGCCTCTCTTCCTGGCTTGTGCACAGCCGCCTCCTCCCTGGGGCCTCCCAAGGCCGAGGGCAGACAGCCAAACAAGCTGCTGTGCCTTCCATTCACGAGGCCTCCGCCCTCGCGCCCCGATGACCTCCGTCCTAATGCCATCCTGTTGGGGGTTAGGATTGCAACATAGGAACTCTAAGGAGATCCAAGCCGTCCACAGTGGTCCCCATGGGCACTGTCACCTGGGGTACTTCAAAATGCAGATTCCTGGTGCCCATCCCAGAACAACTGTACCATAATCTCAGGCGGAGAGGTCTAGGAGTCCGTTCCTTGCTTTTTTCTTTTCTTTTCTTCTTCTTCTTCTTCTTCTTTTTTTTTTTTTTTGAAACTGTATTTTCCACAAGCCCCCCGGTGATTTCTGAGATCCGCCAAATTTGAAAACACTACTCTTAGCCAGAGGGTCACAACCTGGGCCCACATTGGACTTGCCTGGAGAGCTTTGCCCCCTCACCTCCGTGCCTGGTCCCCACCCCAGAGATGCTGATTTATTTCATCTCAGTGGAGCTGTAGCATGCTGGGTTTTTCTTTTTAATGGAGCTATAATTTACCACATACTTCCTAAGGGCTCAGTTTCAGGAGTTTTGACAGTTATATATATGCCCATGTAGCCACCATCCAAAGCAAGATAGAGGACTTTCCCATCACCCTAGAAGTTCCGTTGGGCCCAGTTCCACTCATTTCCCGCGAGCTCCTGGACTTTGTACAAATGCAGTCGCAACATGTGTATTTGTGTGTGTGTGTGTTTGTGTGTGGGTCGGGCTTCCTTCTTCAACATGAGGAATGGGGCCAGGGCCTGGGTGCTCTGGGGGTGATTGTGATGCGCAGCCCAGAAGAACCATGGTTCATGGCTCCAAGCCTTTCATTACATGCTTACGAATTATGCTTCAGGCAAAATTGGGGAAAAAGAAGAAGGTTGGTTCTTAGATTTTCCTGGGTAACTTTGGCCACTGTCCCCTCACCTGTCTTAGCTGCCTTCCTGGTGATAACGTTCAGCCCTTACACGGGAACCCCCCTTTTGCAGCACCCCCTAAATTCAAGTGGATGAATTCTTTCTACCTCCCCTGCCTGATACAGTGGGAGCTGTTACCATCCCTGTTTTTTCACGTGAGGACACTGAGGACTATGCAGGAGGTCCGGTCTGTGCCCTTGACCCCTTCTCTCCACCTGCAGGGTGTGCCTTCCGCCGTGTCCTTCCCACATGTGGTGCCCTCCGTCCAAGATGGGCTCCTTTCTCTGCTGGGACTTCCGTCGCCGAGCCCCGCTCCCCGAGGCTAATCCGAGAAACCTCCCTTTCTCTTTTCCTAAGCAGCACTCGCAAGGCTAACTCTCGTCCTTTTAGGGGGTGTTAGGTAGTCTGCAGAGCACGTTCTGAAGGTCATGCAGCCCTGTGAGCCCCAAATCCCCCCAAGAGTTCCTCTGGAGATCCCTAATCATCCCCCGTCCATCCTGAGCTCCCAAACCATAATCAGCCAGATTGAAACCTGAGCGTTTGTACATTTAAAAAAAAAAAAAACAAATTCCCTGACCACGAGCCTCGCATTTGGGGGCAATACCCAGGCTGAGACGAATGACAGAGCAGGTACTGCTTGCTCCATTTCCTGGATAAGGCCAGTGGGGTCACCTGGTCCCGCGCACAGATGGTCGCCGCAGGGAGGGGATGTTGGGGAGACCGCTTGACTGTTCTCGAGCCCATGCTATGCATATTTACTTCTGCTCCTGTCATCCTCACTCTGGAGCCGGCACCGTCGCTGAACCCCCTGAGGGGCCCCGGGCATCTGCTGTCCTCCCTCATGCTCTCTCGCCCTCTCCCCACAGATTACTCCACGATGCAGGCGGTCCAGGCCACCATGATCCTGTCCACCATCCTCTGCTGCATTGCCTTCCTGATCTTTTTGCTCCAGCTCTTCCGCCTCAAGCAGGGAGAGAGGTTCGTGTTAACCTCCATCATCCAGCTCATGTCGTGTAAGTACAATGGCGGGCTTCCTGGAGGAAGCACTTCCTTCCCCAGCCACCGAGTCGGAGGAGTCAGGAGCCGCGGGGCAGGTGTGGATTTGGAACGGGGATGTTGGCCGCCGTGCTGCGGCGGGACATCCTGTACTTCAGAGTCTGGAAGGGTCAGGTCCGAGGGTCGGGGCCAGCGTGCCCAAGACACGAAGCCTGAGCCAGCCTCTGTAGGGTAAGGACGAGTGGTCGTGAGAACGTACTGTCTTGGTACCGAGGGACGAGGCACAGTTTCCCCAGGGAAGATCAGGGTACTTGACCTCATCCTCCCACTAATGTCTGTTGGTGCTTCACTCAGGATGCTTTTGACTTCGAGTAAGAGAAAAAAAGCCAGTTAACAATGACTTTGGCCACAAAGGCCTTTACTTTTTTGATACAACAAGAAGCTTGAAGGTGGGAGGTGCCATTGTAGGTTTGGCAGCTGAGCAGCATCAAGAACCTCCACTTGATCCTCGGATGCTTTCATCTTCAGGGTGTCAGTGATGACCTCCTCATGGCCCCTGAAAGGCTGCTGCAGCTCCAGACATTCATCCTGACCTGACAATATCTAAAGCAGTAAACACGGGAAAGTACAGCAACAAAAAATGCTTTCTCCTCCCTATCTGTGTCTTTCTAGGGAGTAGTCTTTTTCACTCTAGGATTTTTCTGTGGCCAGAACTGGGACACATAGGGATCCATAAACTGTTATGAGTAAACAAGAACAGGATTGCCTGGGTGGGGTTAGGGTAGTGGGCGGGATGGTCAGTTGGCAGACTATGGTCCAGGGGCCAGATCTGGCTCGCTGCCTGTTTTTGTAAATGACATTTTACCGGAACATAGCTCCGCCCTCTTATTTGCATACTGCCTCTGGCTATTTCCACACCACCACTTCCACGCCAGTAGGGCTGAGCTGAGTAGTTGGGACAGAGCGTGTGTGTGGCACACAAACCCGAAAGTACTCTCTGTCTGGCTGACCCATGGCTTAGACCAGTTATGGCTTAGCCTCTGGGCTGGGTGTACAGCTGCCCGGGCAAAATCGGGCTCAGCCAGAGCAAGCGGGAAGTGAAGTGGCTCCAGGGTAGGCAGCAATGTCCTGCCACAAACTACCACTTGTGATCTTTCCCATAGATTAAAAGGAATACCCGCCAATAATCAGAGCCTGACTTTGCCTTCCTGTCCAGCCGCGGTCCGCTCGGGTCCGTGGTGCACGCTATGACGTGGTCTGTGATTTAATTATCTGCTTGCTTTCGGCAGGCCTGTGTGTCATGATTGCAGCCTCCATATACACAGACCGGCGTGAAGACCTTCACAAGAACAACCCGGGATGGTACTCCCTGACCCTGGACGGCAGCTACGGCTACTCCTTCATCCTGGCGTGGGTGGCCTTCGCCTTCACCTTCATCAGCGGCCTCATGTACCTGATCTTGAGGAAGCGCAAATAGAACCCGGGGAGCTAGGTCGCTTTTGCTGCAGTACAGAATCCACATTCAGATAACCGTTTTGTATATAATCCATTTTTTTTTGTGTGTGGTTTTTCTAGCAAACATATTGTTTCCTTTAAAAGCCAAAAGAGAGAGAGAGAGAGAGAGAGAGAGAGAGAGAGAGAGAGAGAAGAGTGTTTTTGCATTCTTGAGATCAGAGAATTAGACTATGAAGGCTGGGATTCGGGACTCCTGTCCATCTGAAAGTCTCAACGGCGGCGGCACAAAGCCCAAAATTCAGCAATACTCAAATCCATAAAGGTTCAGCAGGATGTTTCTTAACCGTGGGGGTGTGATGTGATGGGACAGGAGACCAAGAACACCAGGTCTCGGGGGACATCGTTCCATAGGTTTTGAGCCATGCCGAGCCCCCCCGCCCTGTCTCAGCTCAGCCCTCCCTCCCCATTCTGTCTGTGTGAGTGTTGGAGGTAGGGTGAGGGAGTCCAGGGGAGGGGTGAAGCCTCCTCAGATGTTTAGCTAAGTTCCATGTGAGAAACAGGTGTAGTAGGCCCTGCTTTACTGTCTATCCAGACCAGAGCCTCAACCCTCCTGTAATGGGCTGGTGGCCAGAGGGTGCCACCCACCTTTGCTGACAGTGTCACTTGCTTCCTATTTGCCTTGGGGAAGGCGATCTTCAGCCTGGGGTCAGATTTGGGCTCACCCTGAGGCCAAGAACCTCAGCATGTGATCCCCAGCAGATGCAGTAGGATGCGGACTGGCAGGGGGCCCCTCCCTAGACCTATGGAATCAGAGCCTTAAGGATGGGGCCTGGGCACCTGCATTTCTGACAAGCTCCTTTGGGATGTGCAGGTGCAGTGAAGCCGAGGACCTCGGCCCCAGGGCCAGGCGAGTGGAGCTGTCTCCTAAATGTTAAAGGTCTTGTCGTGGGGAGATGACGAGGTGCCGGCCGCCCCTGGCCTCCATCAGCTCTCGGCCTTCATGGCTGCTCACAGGTGGGCCATTCCAATGGCAGGCGGGCCCTGTGTCCAGACAGCCCAGGGGTGCTGAAGGCCCATCTTCTCCTGCCCTGCCTTCTAAGGCTGGCCGGCCTCTGCAATCCCCCATTCCTAGAGCCTCCATGGACCCACCTGCCATTCATTCGCCAGCATACATCACGGAGGGCTTGGTGCCTGCTGGGCACAGGGGCTGCCGCGTGGGGACAGTCTCTGTCCTCGGGGCCTCACCATCCTGCGGCGGAGGTAGATTGAAAATGTAGGGAAGGTAATCACACGCTGCAAGGAAAGCTGCAGAGGACACACCGCAGGTTCAAACGAGAGCATTTCTAAGTGAAACGCTCACTTAGATGGGCTAAAATACCGCTGCCACCAGCCCCTCAGAGTGCCTTCGCTGGGCCATGGTGTCTGGGTCACACCCAGAGAACACTTCCCTGGAGGGTCTGGGGGTCCTGATGGCAAACGAAGCCGTGAGAAGCTTCCAGATTGCCGTGACTCTCAAGCTGCAGCGTGGACCGTGCCACTTGGGGACGTGCTTTGGCAGGGTCTGGGTGAAGAGCGCTCCAGGCGATTCTGAGACTGTCCTGTGGAACGTGGCCATGGGGAGTTTGTCCTTAGGCGTGAAAGCACCTGTGAGTGTGTGGCAAGGCAGGTGGCCCCGGAGTACCTGTGGAAGAAGCTCTTTGCCCCTCACTGCCTATTAGCCTCTTAAGTTTTGAGCGCGCTGCTGGGGACATGTGGCTGGGGCCGCGGGTGGACCTGATGGCCACGCCTCTGCGCTGACGCTACGTGAGTGCTTCTGCTGAGTGCACCTGACCTTCTGCTAAGTGTAGTGATGCTCTGTCATCAGCCTGGTTCCCGTGGAGCTGGGAGGATGTCTGGTTTGAATGGTTTCAGGGCCGCCGTGGACACCAGGGCAAGATCAGGTTTTCTCTCCATCCACCCATCCATTCACTCATTCGTGCATGCATTTTCAACAGAGTATTAAATGCTTGTTATGTGCCAGGCACTGTGTGAGGCTCTCAACACACGGGGCAGGCAAATTCAGATATGCTCTCTGAGACAGGGCCCCCTCCTCATGGAGAGGTCACCAGCACGGTGGAAGGTGACACAGGGACAGGGACGGGACACATTGCCACCTCCTGTCTCCATGGAAAACTCTTTTAAGTCCTGTTGTGGGTAGGAGTGTGGGTCACACCCCTGGGGTTTGCAAGATGCTATCTGAGCCTCAAGGAGGAAGGTGGGCCTGAGTGCCCCAGGGCTTTCCACCCAGGTGGCTCTTCCAGATTTCTCTTGTAGCCACACTGGAAACAAAAATGCTCAGAGCCAGAAATCTGGAAAGCCTACTCTCTAGGTAGTGTGTGAACATCCTTCCCCAAAATTTGAGGGGTCCGTGAGCATCCAAAACGACCCCAGGGGTTTTCCTGGCTGGTCACCACTACCATGTAGCATTCAGTGTCCACACCCATCTGTGACACCAAGGTTTTGTGAAACGTGAGAGCAACTTTCCATCCCCCACGGGTGTGACATGCCTTCGGGGAAGCAAGGAAGAGGTGATGGTGGGAGGAGGAAACTGTCCAAACTTCTTATCTGTAGGCAGAACCAGCCCTCACTCAGTGCTTATTATCAGTGACTCAAGAACAACCCCAATGAAGAAAATTAGCTGAGACATCCAGGAAGCAAATATTAGGACCAAATGTGTTACCCGTAACAATTGTATTTGAAGGAACTGTAGTTTGCGCATTTTAGAACATTTTTATAAAGTACTGTACTTCTTTCGTGGAGGGGCTATGGATGGAGACAGACTAACTTGTTTTGTTATTTGCATTAAAATGACTTTGGGTCTCTGTTGAGATGAGTTTGTAGGATTGATTTGTTGCTCTGAGTGAATGTGTATATTCATACGTGAATACAGGAAAGTTGGCGACGTCCCCCCACCCCCATGCTCTCTGCTGTAGGTTGTGAGCCTGAGCGCATCGGAGTCCCCTGATGCTCTGTATTTACTGATGATGCAGAAACTGTGACCCCCAAGCCCATACATACACACACTAAACACAGTAGCTGGAAGGTTGATAGTAGCTGTGGCTTCATTTAAAATCTGCCTGAGCGGGGAATCAACTCGCTAATAGTTGAAAGGTTATTTATAATACAGCAGACTAGACAGTTTTGTGTACTGCGGGGAGTAGTGGTTTGGGGGAAATGTGAGGGAATGGCCTAGAGGCTAAATCTGAATCTTGGTTTGGGGGCAAAATGTGACTTTGGTTAGATATGTTCTATTTCACGTGCCTTTCAAATAGTTTATTTCCTATATTTTATATACTGTGAAACTGTACATGGCAAATAAAGTTTGGAACCAAATGGCCCAGAGCAACAGACTCCAGTGTTCCAACTGTGCCAGCATCCAGTGTAGACTGCCACCGTTTTGAGTGGCAGGGCACCACGTGATTTCTCATCAAGATAATCGTGCGGTTTTTATAGCGAGCAACTGATGTTTGAGAGTTCCTCACAGGACAGCTTCCACCCCTTTGCCTCTCATGGAACCAGCTTCCTGGAAGAATGACCTGCAGTTGTTCAGGACTCCCTGTTTGGTTAGCAATCTGCTGGTGCCGTCTTAAAATTCTTAGTGATATTGAACCAATGGCTTCACATTTTCTATTTGCAGGGTCCCTGAAAATCATATAGCCTTCTTCTCCAGTTTGCTTAATGAAGACTTCTGCTTTAAAGGGTTGGGCGATGATGAAAATCAGACTATCTTTACAGCACACTCTGCTAAAGAATGAAAAATTCAGCAGAAAGAAAGAGATGATAGATACATTGGTAGGTAGGTAGATAGGTAGATAGATGATAGATAGGATGGGTAGGTAGGTTGGATAGATAGAAGATAGAATGGATAGGTAGATAGCTAGGATAGGATAGGCAGGTAGATAGGATGGATAGATTGATGATGATGATAGGTAGAGATAGATAGATAGATAGATAGATAGATAGATAGATAGATGATAGATAGGATGGATAGGTAGATAGGATGGACAGACAGGATGGATGGATAGATAGGATGGATAGATAGGATGGATAGATAGAAGATAGAATGGATAGGTAGATTAGATAGGATGGGTAGACAGGATAGATAGATAGATAGATAAGATGGATAGGTGGGTAGATAGGATGGATGGATAGATAGGATAGATAGAAGATAGATGATAGATGATAGATAGATAGATAGATAGATAGATAGATAGATAGATAGATAGATAATAGGATGGTTAGGTAGATAGGATGGACAGACAGGATGGATGGATAGATAGATGATAGATGAAGAGAGACAGAGTGAGATCTTGAATTTTTAGTGAAGGAATGCCAAATATGGAGAACCTGCGTTCACTTGTCTCTACGTAGGAGTTGCAAACTAAAAACCTCCAAGGCTTACTTACTGTCTGTATTCTTTGTGTTTCTAGGGTCTTTTCATGGTCAGTTTGGTTTGGTTTTTGGTCCATGTGGAAGATAGATGGTGGGCACCCCAGAGAACTCAATTTTATATATTTCTTCCACTTGGAAGGAAGCGTGCCACTCATTCATTCACCAAGTATTGGTGGCCTAGCATGATTCATCCTGGAGAATACTCCCTGCGTGCTTGAGAAGAAAGTATATTCCACTGCTCTCGGAGGGAACGTTCCATAGATGTTGTCTGGTCCATTTGGTCTAAAGTCTAGCTCAAACCCAATGTTTCCTTATTGATTTTCTGCCTGGATGATCTATCCATTGCTGACGGTGGGGTACTAAAGTCTGCTACTATTACTGTATCCCTCCCTTTGGATCTGTTACTTGGATCTGTTACTATTGCTTGATATCTAGGTGTTCTGATGTTGCAGTAATGATGGTGCACTAATATTTCTGCTAAAGGGGTCAATTCATCATGAGGGTATTATAAATATTTATTCACCAAGTATTTGTGTATGTATTATGGCATAAGTGTTGTGCTGGGTGTTTGGTACTTAGTCCCTGCCATTGTCTAGACTTATCTTAGTTCCCAATATAAAAAAAACAAACAAACAACAAAAAACAGAAGTGAAAAGAGGAATACTTGGTGACACATGAAAATTACATGAAATTCAAATCTCAGCGTCCATCTATAAGGTTTTATTGGAGCTTGGCTGTTTTGTTTAGATATCATGCAGGCTGATTTCAGGCTACATAGGGAGGGTTACCACAGAACACGCACAGCCTGCAGCCTGTAATACTATCTGGCCTGTTACAGAAAATGTTTGCCATTCCCTGGTCTAATCAAATGAGAAGGGTACTGTCTTTTTTCGTGTGTGTCTCTTTTTAGGAACAAGAAGAGTTTTCTTAGAATCCTTTGGCAAACTCTTCCCAGTGCCTGAGGATTCCGATTTTCATGCTTAACCCAAACACTGGGAGAGGTAATTAAAATGACTACGACTGGTGTTGACCTCTTAGCTGGGCATTAGAGTCTCTCAGTGAGGGATATACTTATCAACCACACTCCTAGAGAAGAGAAGAGGCCACCAACAGGGTCTGCCACAGTCTGTCCCTGGGCTGCCCAACGTCTACACAAAACTTCATAAGAATTTTTAAGATTCTTATATATTCATAAAGTGAACTAACCCCTTTCCAAGAGGTACACACCCTGACGCCAAAATCAGTTAGTACTTCCAGCTCCAGAATCATTTGGTGACATGGATTATCCTGTGTCAGATCCAGATGTGGCTCCTCATGGCCCAGTGACCTGTGACAAAAAGCTAAGTCCTATACACCCAACGCAGCAACACGTAATGGGGGAAAAGGAACAGAATCCCTGTAAGAGATGATCCCCTTTGGAAAATGGATGAGCAGAAGGAGAATCCATGCCCAGTGGCCAAAGTTCCTTGTCAGTTGCAAGTACCACTCCCTGGTGGAGAGTGAGGTCAGTGGTTGGTCAGTTCATGGCCTTTGATTCCACTCAGGGGGACCATCTCCCGGGCACAGCCCTCCAAGGCCATACCCAAGATGGGCAGTGGAGACGAGCCCCTTCTTCCTTTCTGTGGACATGAGGCCCAGTGTCTCAGAAGTGCCTCAGGGGAGGACAGTCATGGGATGTCTTTGGTCACAGATAAGGTTCCTTTGGCCATAAGGCCAATGGTGCATCCATCTGATGGGCGAAGCCTGGGTCATGTGACCATGCCCTCGCTGCAAGGGAGGCTGGCAACTAGTTAGTGGGCAAGTCAGCCAGAGATAGTACCTGGATCTTTTCTTTTTTCAAACAACAAGCATTTATTATCACACAGGTTTTTTTGTTTTGTTTTAGATCTTATTCATTTATTCATGAGAGACACAGAGAGAGATGCAGAGACAGAAGCAGAGGGAGCCCGATGTGGAACTCGATTCCCTGATCCCAGGATCACGACCTGAGCTGAAGGCAGGTGCTCACCCACTGAGCCACACAGGTGCTCCTGTCGCACAGGTTTTGATAGGAATCCAGGCGCAGCATAGGTGGATGGTTCTGTCTTATGGTCTCTTATGAGATGGGCCTAATCTTTGAGCTCGAGAATTGCTGTCTCCTAGTGTCATGGCTCTATGTCTTGAGGCAATAACTTCAAGCTGTCATAGTCCAAGCTATGTCCCTGGGCTTGTCCCTCTGGTGGAAAAGGCTAGGACCTGGCGCATCTTTTCTAGTTGTCTCGTCCATTCCACTCCGCTTTCTGCCTCCACACCACTGATCTGTATAGTTTAGAGCACAGTTTGGCACATGACAGGCTCGCTGGCCAATAGCCTGCTTTTTAATGGCCCAGGAGATAAGAATGGTGTTTTGTTTTTATTTTTTATTATAAAGATTTTATTTGTTCATTCATGAGAGACAGAGACAGAGGCAGAGGCAGAGGAAGAAGCAGGCTCCATGCAGGGAGCCCGACGTGGGACTCGATCCTGGGACTGTGGGCTCATGACTGGAGCCAAAGGTAGATGCTCAACCTCTGAGCCACCCAGGTGTCCTGCTTTTTTGTTTTTAAAGAGTTGCAAAAAAATGTGAAGAAGAAACAAACAAAGGCTTTATGTGGCCTGTAACATCTGAGCTCTTTACCGTCTGGCCCTTACGGGCCAAGCGCACCAATTCCTGGCTTAGAATTTGAGTCGCCCATCCCCACAAACCTCTGAATCCCTGGACTTATCAGTTTAGATTGTTAAGACTTCAGGCAGAAAGAATCTCAGTGATGCCCTATTGTCTTCCACTTTTGCCACTCAAGGAGCCACCTGTGGCTCAAGATTGACTTTTTCTCGAAGGAGCTTAGTGAAGACTCTAGGAAGCTGAACGTGGCAGCAGCTAGATATGTTTCCACAACAGTTTAAACCAGTGTCAAACATCTGATCCATGGGCCCAATCCGGCCCACCACCTGATTTTGTAAGCAAAATGATCTTGGCAACCAGCCACACACACACCAGCTGACACACCGTTCGCGGCCGCTTTCAAAGGCAGAGGTGAGTGGCTGCCAAAGAGACCATACTGAACCCTAAGCCTGATGCAGTGACTATCTGGCCCTTTACAGGAAAGCTTGCCGAGCTTTCGTGTCCAACAAATGTCTTGCAAAGATCATGCAAGGGCCACCGCATCCCAGCCTGGAATAACAGGTCCTCGTGGCCCTGCCCCCTCGACTGGCCAATTGCACACTAGAGTGTCTGTTGCTCGTAGCGTCCAAATTTTGTATCTTTCCTCTTCTTCGTTGCAAGCAACAGTGACTGGCTGACTTCCGCAGAACAGGAATTCAGTAACAGGAAATCGGGTGGGGCAGAGGCTAGGAAGTAGGCAGCCAAGTCCCTGTTGATTGCCTCACATTCTTCCACAGAACAGTTTGGTAAGGAATTCACCGCCGGCGCCGCAAGGTGGTCCTTTGTGCTGGGAACTTGATCTTGTGCAGCCCATTGCTCCGACGGAAGGCAACAGTCCGTGCCATCCCTACTCCTTCGGAGGCCGAGCCTGGCAAGGTGCATCCATCTGATGGGCGAAGCCTGGGTCGTGTGACCACGCCCTCGCTGCAAAGGAGGCTGGCAACTAGTTAGTGGGCATTTTCAGCGTTGGTGGTGGGAGGTAAGGTTGCAACCTGCCAAGACTCAGGAGGAAGGGATTTCCCCAACAGAGGACGGAAGTTCAAGTGCTGGGCAGTCGAACCCAATGGCAACTGCCGTCTACATCCTATCAGAATCCCATTCCCTGCTAACCCACAGCTGAGCTCATGCTTCCCAGCTTTACTGACCCATCTCTCGCCCATTACTCTGCTTACAGGCACTGATAGCCTGCACTATTATTTACTGGACATTTTTCTTTAAAGCAATTATTTCTTTACAGAAATACGTTTATTCAGAGGGAAACTCTAAGGTAAGTTGAAAATCGGCATCAGGTGCCCTAAGTGACCTAGATACGATTTAAAACAAGAATGCGATTAAGAGTATAGTACAAACTGTCGTCCAGTGGAGGTTTTGACCTGAGGACTGGTCCTTCCCCAAGAAAGGAGGCTAGGAAAAGACGGGAAGGTGTTAAAATATGATCAGGACCATAGCTGCCTGACGTAACTAGAAAGCTAACAAGAGAACAGAGAAGGCAGTGGCCTCCCTCCGTGGGGGTGTTTGCAGGTGCTACCTAGATTCGTTGGGTACCACTTGGGGTATTTGCCTCATAACAACAGTATAAAAAAAGCATAAGCCAACGTCCTCGCTGGCTGAAGGGGATTCACACAGGCCTGCAGCTCCTCCCTACCGGACTGCCTGAGCCTGCTCTTTCTGAACCTCTTTCAAGCTGGCCTCGTAATACATCCCAATCCAACGGGAGATGAGACGTAGGCATTTGGGTTTAGCCACACCTGGGTGTGTGATCGGACGCTGCCAGCCTCCACGGAAGCCCGCACGCCCCGTACTCTCACCCCCCCTTGCCCACAAGCCCCACTCGAGCTTCTGGAGCGGCAGTGACCCAGGAGGGCCCTTGTGTGGAACCACACGGCCGGCAGGAGCGGCCGCTCTGCCAGGGGTCTGGAGTGCACTAATTACAGAGCGTGTCTGGCTTTTTAAGGAGCTGAGGTTTCTGACTCATTGCCCCGGGGAGCAGGAGCTAGGATTTGGCTTTTCTGATCACTGCATTTCTTGCTCCCACCCAAGGCCATGGCCTAGGACTTCTGCAACCAACCAAACCCTGCCTGGGAGGCCAGGCTGGGCCACATGAAGGAACATGAAGTACATATTGATATGCGTGTCCTAGTGTTTACCTCCAAATGTAAAATTAAAACTCCTCTGACTTATGTACATCGGTCTGACCCCTTAAAAGGATGGTTTGCCAACGGTGACCATCTGAAGAACCTGGAAGTCACTTCATGGGCCCCAGAAGCAGACAGGCCCAGGTTCCAGTCCAACTCAGCAGTTAGTCACAGAGAGGCCTTGCCAAGCTATTAGACTCTGCAGACCTCATGGCCTAATCTGCAAAATGGGGTAATGCTTGGTCCCTCTGGTCTCCCATTCGGCCGATTCGTGTTGAGCGAATCGGGCACCACACACTGGGGCAGGCATGGAGACTCAGGGATGTACCAGACATCCCACGCGCTCATGGAGCTTTCATTGCAGCGGGGAGCAGACGACAAGCAAGGTGAACAAAATTACAAATTGGAGTGCAATCTGTGGACATGGAAATGGTGTGACAGGAAGATAGCAACTCAGGGCAGGTGAGGACTTGTTGCTAACATGACGTTGATGCCAAGACCTGTGTTAGGAGAGCTGAGGGCAGATGGGATGGGGCCACAGGACCAGCTGTTTCGCAGGGTTGTGGGCATTCAGGGCACATGCAAGACAATGTGGCACCATGCAGAGGATGCTAAGTACCCGCAGAGACACCCAGAAAGAACTCTGGTTTGCACAACACCTTCACATGAATTGTATCATTACATTTGATTCTCATGACAGCCCGTCAGGTAGAGAGGCCTCAATTTATTGGTGGGCGAGTGACAAGAGGAGCAGGGAAGTACAGCAAGGAGACTAAGCCATTTCCTTTGGTCTCTTTTCTTCCCAGAGCCACCTCCTTTGACGGATGGTGGACACCTGCAAGATGGGAGTGGATGTGCTAGCTACAGCTGCATAACAAGCAGCCACAATGCACGCTGGCACACACCAGCGAGTGTTCATTGTTCACAGGTCCAGGCTCAGCTGGGGGTTGGCTGGGCGTGCCCCCAAGTCTGGGGGTTGGCTGATGAGGACTGGTCTTGTCTGAGATGGCTGGGGCACTCAACCTTGTCCCACAGATCCCTCGTCCTGGATCAGACTGACCCAGGCATAGACTCACAGTGATGGGGGAGATGCAGGAGAGCAAGCGGAAACATATATGTTCTCTTAGGCTTGGGACTGGGATACCACTTCCGCTGCCTTTTCTTGGCCAAGCCGGCTACAGATCTCTCCTAGGTGCAAGGGAGGGGAAACCGACACTCTTCTTCAGTGATAGGACCACACAGTCACCTCAGGGGATGGGGGTGAGAAGGTGAGGGTGGGAGGGAGCCACGTATTGAGGCCGTTAATGCAATCCGTTAGTGCAGACTTCAGGGCCATAAAATAGAGAAAAGTGTGTGTGTGTGTGTGTGGCAATGGAACCATCTAGAACACACACCATTTAGGGAATCCTCACGAAAATGCAGATTCCAGACCTGTTACATCTCAAAGGGACTAACCCAGGATCTGAATTTTAGGACTTTCAGGTTCTTCAGATGGTCACCGTTGGCAAACCATCCTTTTAAGGGGTCAGACCGATGTACATAAGTCAGAGGAGTTTTAATTTTACATTTGGAGGTAAACACCAGGACACGCATATCATTATGTACTCCACCCCTCCAAAAAATATGTATCCAAAAATTATCCAGCACCCCAGGCACTTGCTCCGTGGACTCCGGGAGGCCAAGAGGCCAGAAAGTGGACGAGCCGGTGACACTATCACCCCCTAGGGGTGCAGTGTGGACACACAACATAGCAACGAAGCTCCTCCTCCCCGTAGCGAAGCTAAGGTTCTTTCACATACAGTTTAGCCAAACCCAACACAGCTGATGGAAGCTGACGCGAGTTGATCCCTATTACCATGCAGTTCGATCTATGCGACCAGAGCATTGCTTTGTACCGATTTTCATTAGCTTAATTAATTAATGTTTAGCCATGCGACCTCTGTACTCTTGTTGACAGTTGGTAGAGTATTACAGCCTCGAGACAGATTTGCAGTTTACAGCCGAGTGTCAGTACAGAAGTTACCTTTTTTTTTTTTTTTAAGGGAAGGAAAGACCATCGTAGCTGCTGGTCTCTGCCTCACTACTATTGCCTTTTCTCCCCCTCAAAGATTTTATTTATTTATTCATGAGAGACACACACATAGAGAGAGAGAGAGAGACACACAGGCAGAGGGAGAAGCAGGCTCCCTGCAGGGAGCCTGATGCAGGACTCGATCCCAGGACCCTGGGATCACGCCCTAGGGCAAAGGCAGATGCTCCACCGCTGAGCCACCCAGGCGCCCCCAGAAGTTACCATCCTTCCATGAGACAAGAGTATCTTCAGCACAAAACTACTTTGAAGCCATTTTAACTACTTACATTATGGGGGAGCCCTGGTGGCTCAGCGGTTTAGCGCCGCCTTCAGCCGGGGTGTGATCTTAGAGACCTGGGATCGAGTCCCACGTCGGGCTCCCTGCATGGGGCCTGCTTCTCCCTCTGCCTGTGTCTCTGCCTCTCTCTCCTTCTGTGTCTCTCATGAATGAATAAATAAAATCTTAAAAATAAATAAATAAGTAAATAAATACTTACATTATGAAAAGCACCTGTCAATGTGTCCTTTCAAAATTCGTCCTTGTAAGAGCTCCCGAGTCCATACTGAAGCTTCTCAGCATTGGCGCAATGGACTTTGGGGACCAGATCGTGCTCTGTTGTGGGGACTGCCTTCTGCGTACCTGGCACTCAGCGGCAGCCCTAGCTTCCCCCCATCAGATGCCAGTAGACACCCCCACCACCACCCACAAATTGTGGCAGCAAGAAAAGTCCCCTGGGGAGCGGAGGCCAAACTGCCGCCAGTTGGGAGCCCCTGCTGTAGGGTTTTTAATACCAGGAAATATGGTGCCTGGCGATCCTGGGGACGCTGCCAGGGTGAGGACGCTGCTAGAAACTGCTCTGAGGGTGGCTGGCCCCATGCAGCTCGCACCGTCGCGGGAGAACAGGGCAGAGCCAATGACAGCCTTGCCCCACTGTGGCCCTGGGCTTGTCTGAACACACGGGAGGACAGCACGGGATGTTCCTGGTCCCCAAGCTCAAACTGCACATTTGCTCAATATTTGTCATCCAGTGGAACAAACAGAGGCGGGAGGAGCCAGGAGGAAATTGCTCCTCCGTGTTTGCAGAGGGATAATAGCGTCATTTCACCAGGAGCTTGGACACAGGCGAGGAAAGAGAGGGGTGACCTGCCCTTGGCACAGGGTCACCTTCAATAATAGATTTTTTTTTCTTTTCCCCCAGAAGGAGAAGTTAAGTTGCCAGGATGTGCTGCCACCTCGGCCAGGAGGGAATGGTGGCTGAGTGAGCTGCGGGAGCCAGAGCCCGGCCAGAAGGGCGGCCGCCTTTCTTGTCTGACCCCGAGTGTTGACGGGGGACAGGAGTGTTAACAGGGGCCACTATGCCTCTATGCTCTTAGCTTTGCTTTTTTTTTTAAGTTTTATTTTTTTTAAAGATTTTATTTATTTGAGAGAGAGAGACCATGAGCGGGGTGAGGAGCAGAGGGAGAAGCAAGCTCTGTTCTGAGCAGGGAGCCCGACGTGGGGCTTGATCCCAGGACCCCGGGATCATGACCTGAGCTGAAGGCAGATGCTCACCCGATGGAGCCACCTGGGTGCCCCACTACGTTTGCTTTTTTCTGAAGCCCACCCTTCATCTTTGTCATCCTATGGCATCCTGGGACTTTTGTCCAGAAAAAAGGATCCTGTGAAGCCCCCCAGACCTTTTCAGAATGAGGTGTGGCACCCAGATCAAGGGGAATTACCTCTGTAGGACCCAGGAGACTGGCCTCACCGGGCTAAGGACCCTGCTGAGCTGGCCGTCTCCATGCAAATCTGGTCCCAGTGGTTCCCGTGCTGTGTGCCCCACAGCCAACGGCTGGATTTCTCTGGGCCTCTGCGTCCTGGAAAATGGGACTGGCTGTGGCATACTTGCTGGGGGCATACAGTCAGTGCTCAATGAGGGCCGTTAATCTCTTCTTCTTGTCAAGGGCACCTACCAAGTAAGTGGCAGATTCAAGGCTTGGGATTAGATGTGCTGACCCCGCATCCCGGATTCCTAACCTTGGCACGTGCTGGAGCCCCTGGGGGTGCTCCTGGAGCCCAGATCCCACAGAGGTGCTCATTTACTGGGCTGGGGAGCAGCCTGGGTGGGGCGGTTGTTAAGGTTCTCCAGGTGATGCTAACGGGTAGCGGGTAGCCGGGGGCGGAGAACCTGTGATGGGGCCGCCTTGTAACTCAGGTGCGATCGAATAAGTCAGGACCCTAGAGTATTTGACCTTCTGTGACTGGCTAACTTCACTTAGCATAACGTCGTCCGGTCCGTCCACAATGTTGCTCGTCACCGGATTACTTCTTCTTTACGCCTAATCCTCCATTGTATGTACACACCATCTTTTCTTAATCCACTCAGTGTTTCTTAATCCACTCAGTGTTCTTAAACACTCAGTGTTTTTTTTTTTTAAAGATTCCATTTATTTATTCATGAGAGACACACACAGAGAGAGAGAGAGAGAGAGGCAGGGACACAGGCAGAGGGAGAAGCAGGCTCCATGCAGGGAGCCTGACGTGGGACTCGATCCCTGGATCCCAGGGTAGGTGCTCAACCGCTGAGCCACCCAGGCGTCCCCACTACGCGTTGTTGATGGGGACTCAGTTTGTCACCACCTCTAGATAGCACTTCACCAGGTACCTCAAATAGACTCACAGGAACAGAAAGTAGGATGTGGTTGCCAGCAGCTGGGGAAGCGAGAGGGGAAGCTGCGGTTCCAGGGGACAGAGGTTCACTCATGCAGCTTTGAAAAAGTTCTAGAAATCCCATATACATCATAGTGTTTATGGGGAATGATAGTGGACAGTCAAGACCTTAAGAGGCTGTTTTATTTTTCATCACAATTAAAACACCACCACAGTGTCCAACGGGTGGTTCAGAGAAGTGCTGAAGGCTCCAGAGGGGAGTGAGCCCCCAAAGAGCAGGGCCGCATCCAGGGGGGCTTCCTGGAGGAGGTGGGGGCTCAGCTGACCTTGGGGATGGAAGCTCTGGGAGCTTCCCAGGGGTGGGGGGGCGCTGACACAGCACCCAGATGCATGTTGAGGGGGTGATGGCTCAGTGCCCCCTGCCAGCCCCCACCATGCTCGGCCTGTCTCCTGGCCCTGGCGGGCAAGATGGGGCAAGACATGTGACCAGCCGCATGGTGCTGGCAGCTCCGCCGATTTCAAGTCGGCGGGTGCTGAGCTTGGGGTCCCGGCCCCCCCCCCCAGGCTGAGCCTGACCCTGGGCGGTGGGGCCCGGGAATCTGCTACTTAACAAGCTCTGGGGACCCCAGGGAAGGCGGCAGGGGGCCGGCACCGGGAGTGCTTCTGGGGAGGTCTGGGCCTGCCAGCCCCCCACCTCCTTTCCTCTCCGCCACTCCCCGCTCCGTCTCACTGGGTGCCATCAGGTCACATCAGGTCGAAGGTGGCTTGGAGGCACAGTGACCCGACAGGAGTGTAGCCCAGCCAAGACTGATAAATTAAAAATGAAAAGGGAACCTCCCCTCCCACACATGGCCTGTTGATTGTCTGGATACTTATTGATTTTTTTTTTTTTTGGCTCATACACGGTCCCGCTTGCTTTGGTAACAACACCCCGGAATTCCTTTTGGAGAATCGTCTCTCCCTCCCTGTGGGCAATCTGACGGGCAGGTCACTTAGGGGTCTTGCGGCATGTGAGGCCAATCAGCGTTTCTTTTGTAGACCCTCCTCGGCTCGGTGAGGGTGGAAAAGCCTGTTGGCGTTTACCTCCTGGAGCAGGTGCATCTCATGTGTGCCCCATTCTGAGTCTGCCCTACTCTACACCACAGTTATGTGACCCTCCTTCCATCCCTCTCTAAACCCCACTCCTTAAATTCTGGTCTGTTTGGCAACTCTGAAGGCCTCTCTCTCTGTGTATCTGAGTGTCGCTGCAAAGTTCTGGAAAGCTTCGTCTTGTCCTGGGAAAGGGGAAGAGCTGAGGTGGGGATGAGAATGGGAGTCACTGCTGCGCCATGCACCTGCCCCACTCAACGCAGTCCACCAGCGAAGCTTCCCATCTTCATGGCGGTCAACACAGGCAACGCTGCCTCTAGAGTCTTACAGAGGTGAGTCTTCCACTTGTGCTGGGTTCTGCTTAGAGATAGTGATTTAATCTGCATCATTTGACTCCCATGTGACAAAAGTGCGGAAGAAGGAAGGGTTGGGGGAAGGTGATAAAATCCACCTGCAACGGCTTTTTTTTTTTAAAAGAAAAAAGAAACAGATTTTATTTATTTATAATGAGACAAAGAGAGAGGCAGGGACACAGGCAGAGGGAGAAGCAGGCTCCCTGCGGGAAGCCCGATGCGGGACTCGATCCTAGGACCCCGGGATCACGTCCTGGGCCCAAGGCAGATGCTCAACCGCTGAGCCACCCAGGTGCCCCCCACCCCAAAGGCTTTGTGTCTAAGTAGAACTGAAGTTCTGAAATTGAGAACAGTCAGGGAAGGGCTTTTGAAAAGCTGACTTCTGTGACAATTCCAGTTGCAATTTGTGAGTTAAATTCAAAATTGAAATCGAGATTGCCAGCAAGCATTTTTCCCCTGCCCTTCTTGGCTTTGTTTGCTTGGGATTGGTCCAATAATCAAATTAACATGGGACAGATTAACAGGAGAAAAATAAATTGAATTAGTACATACCAGAGCCCCACAAAGACAGGGAGACCCAAGGACAAGCCAGGCAACTGAGGCTCGCCTGTCATTTTGAGCCAACGAATGAGACAAGGTCCTGGGGCTTCAAAGTGGGGGAGAGGGCCCTCACAGGGCAAGGAGAGCAAATGCTTGGTAATTAGCCGAAACGAAATTTTGCCGTATGGACAGGTCATTTCAAATTAAAAAGTTATCTCTTGGTAATGGCTCTCTTTCTGGGTCAGACCCCCTACCTGAATTAGGTAGTTTGAGGCAGAGGTAAAAGTTTTTCTTGAGTTGGCTGGGTCTTGATTGCCTTCAGCTCAAAATGGTCCCCGTGCCAAAGTGGCACATTTTGGGGGACCCTTGTTCTGAGCCCCTTCAGAATCCATGTTGTATCTAGGTGTTAGCTAAAAGACCGGCCACACTGGCACCATATTTCAAGTATATTAGTAGCGTTATTACAATGGGTTTCAACGCTTCAAGAAAAAAGGTTTAATTCCAATTTCAGAAAGATGGGGAAGAGGCGTACTGCCACCTGGTGGCTATTTTTCCAAATTGTGTGATGAGGCCTTTTAGGGAAGAGATTGGTGACCCTGAATGTAGTAGTGAAACGCAAACATCCCAATGCTCTCAAGCAGTCGGCTCTTGACCTGGGATACCGACGTCTCTCTAGAGTCAACAAAAATCTCAATTATGAGCCAGAACAATTTGGTTTGGTCCGATAAAAGTTATTTTTGTAAAAGCAGATATTCCCCCCCAAAGAAGAGGAACGATTCCAAGCGATTCCCTCCGCGGTCATTCTACATTTCCCTCTGCCGAGTTATTTTTCCTGGAGGAAGGACGGTGTGCATCTTTACTCTGGCCTCCTCAGTGGCCTCAGGGCAGAGTAACTGGATCCTGAGGTCGGCTTGGTACATGCATTGAGGGTTTTCTAGAAACCCTCTTGAGTCTCCCGCCCCTGGACGGGACTTCCATGACCCCAGGCCGGCTGCTGTCCTGTTGTTCAGCACATTGCAACAGGCTTGCAGTTAGTCACCCTGGTCCCCTGGTCTACCCACCACTCCCACCCATTCTCCAGTTTACCTTCTACACGGCAACCAGAGTGATCTCAACTTCATCTGATCCTCTTACCAGCTTGTTTGAAGTCTTCATTGTTGGCTCTCCATCACTCCCAAGATAACGACCCAGATTCTTTTTTTTTTTTTTAGTTTTAATTTTAACTCCAGTATAGTTAACAGCGTTATATTAGTTTCAGGTGTACAATATAGATTCAACACTTCCATCCATCACCTGGTGCTCATCACCGCTCCTTCATCCCCATCACCTGTTTCCCCCATCCCCCACCCCCACCCCTGGGGTAACCATCAGTGTGCTCTCCATAGTGAAGAGTCTATTTCTTGATTTGTCTCTTTTTTTTCCTTTGTCCATGTGTCAGTTAAATCATACATGAGTGCAATATGATTTCCTATGGTATTTGTCTTTCTCAGACGGACTTGTTTTGCTTAGCATTGTACTCTCTAGCTCCATCCGTGTCATTGCACCTGGCAAGGTTTCATTCCTTTTTATGGCTGAATAATATTCTGTTGTATATTTACACCACATCTTCATCCATTCATCAATCGATGGACACCTGGGCTGCTTCCAAGGTTTGGCTATTGTAAATAATGCTGCTATAGTATAGAGGTTCCTCAAAAAGTTAAGAATGGAACCACCTATGATCCAGTCATTGCACTACTGGGTATTTACCCAAAAAATACAAACACAAATTCAAAGGGATGCGTGCACCCCTATGTTTATAGCAGCATTTATTTATAATAATGGCCCAGCTTCCTAACATGGGACTGCCGGGCTCTAACAGTGTCTCAGGTGCTGTTGCTGCCTCATAAACAAGCCCCAAACTTAGAGGCTTAAAATAACTTTTGTTTTGCTTAGTTGTGTGGGTCAGGAATTTGAATGGGGCTCAGCTGAGCTGCTTGTCTGACCCACATGACTTCAGCGGGGGCATCTGAAACCCAGCTTCTGCTTCAAAGACGGCTTCCTCACTCGTGGGGCTGCCCCCCTGCCACCGTGTGTGACATCTCGTCCTCCAGGGTCGCATGGCATAAGCTACTAGCAGCAAGGTGATCATAGGGTGGCTGCACTTCTTAGACGGTGGCTGGCTTCCAAGAAGCAGGGAGTGGAAGCTGCCAGGCCAGCTCCAAGAGCTGCCACAGCATCGTTTCCACTGTGGCCAAAGCAGTCACAGACCTGCCTGGGGTCAAGGGGCTGGAGAGACAGACTACCCCGCTAGCTGGGGGAGAGGCAAGGCCGCACTGCAGCAGACCAGGTGGCCTGGGAGGTACTCCACACTCTGCTGTCCATGTCACGCTCACCTCCTTAGGCCTCGCTCAATGATCCTAAACCACCTGCTTCTTGCACCTTTTCTTCTCTGAGCTCTTAACCTGGTGAGCTCTACCCGTTTTGCAGATCTCGGCTCAATCAGGATTTCCGGACCCCAACATGGACTCTAAGAGCTGTCTCCTTTTTATTTTGAAAAGTTTCAACCTACAGGAGTGTTGCAAGAATAACATGACACCCATACACCTTCCACTTAGATTCACCAGCTATTAACACTGTGGTTTTATTTGCTCTCATCTTTCTGTGTGTATTTTTGAACCATTTGTTAGTTGCCGTCAAGGCACGGAGTTAAGTGTCCATCATTTAACACGGACACAGCACTATTATCTATATAGCCTATAATTTGGGACTTTGCCAGTTGTCCAAATACTGTCCTCTGCAGCTGTTTTTCTGAATCCAGAACCCACCATGAATCATGCACTGCATTTCATTAGCCCACGGGATCCCCTCTTACGCCCAAATCCTCTTCCATCAAAGGACTTTCCAGAGTGTGGGTTAGACCCCTTGACCTGGCACAAACCCTTCCAGCAGACGTACTCTGTCTTGCGCCCTCTCCTCCTTCAGGCCTAAGGGCCGCCCCCTCCGAGAAGCTCTCCCTGACTAGCTTGTCTCACGTAGCCTCACCACCACGCTCCCCTGTATCTCTCTGCTCCTTTTCCTCAAGGACCACATTGTGCCACTGTCTGAAAATCTTGTTTACTTTTACTTGGTAATGTCCTTAGGTCCGTTCCTAAAGGGCAGGGACAGTAGCTACTCGTTTGCCATGTTGGCCCCCGGCCTTGTGTCTGGCGTAAGGCAACTGTTCAACAATTCCTTGATGAATGAATACATGAATATTTCACTGGGAAAATTTAATGAACTGGTGAAAACAATTTTGGGTTCGCTGAGCTTCATGTTCCAAACCTTTACCATGTCATAAACCTCTTGGCACAACTGCTAAGAAATTCTCCTTGGTGTCGGGCTGCTCCCCAGCCTACCCAAGCCTGGCCTCTCTGTTCGGCTCTAAGGAATAACCTGTGCGCATAAATTTCCAAACTGGTTTTATACAGAGCTCGTTTGGGCTGAAACAAGGTCCCAAATCCTACTGCTGAACTACCCCAGTATCTGTGCTTGCCACTCATGGCAAGAGTGTGTGAGCAAAAGGCAGGGTCCCTAGCTATGGGACAACTTCTTTTTCATGGACAGAGCAGCACAGTTCACCCAACGGGAGCTGACCTCAAGTTCTGGTGGTGACTAGGTTCATTTGCAGACAGGCCAGAAAATATCCTGTGGCCCCGAGTAGTTACCCCCATGTGTGGCTTCCACCCTCTCTGCCGTGTCTGCACCCTTTCTTCAAGGCACTCTGGACGTCAGGCCCACAAATCACTCCCATCATCAGGTGCGCCCCCAAACTATTTCCTTACATCCAAAGAGTTAAAACTCTATGCTGCAAAAATCAACTATCCTCTGCCCCTTGTGTTATCCTAAGTCCATTCCATCCTGCCTGTCCAACTGCATGCACCGGATCCCCCCCAAACCCAGTGGAAAAGAATTGGGTTGGAAAATAGTTTTAATTAACTAAGGCTTGAGTACAGAAATATTATCTTCACAGATCAGACATTATTTCCCTCCATCAAAGAAGGAAAAAGAACTTCCAGATGTGTCCTTGCCCCACAAGGGCTGAGACACATCTGGCTGGTGACCGCATCTATAGCGGTGTCCCTTGAGACTGATTCAACTTGCTGCAATCATTATAGAAGCCGAAGTGCCAGAAATTCAGAGATTAACACTTTTATATACAACCCATTATCACAAATCCAGAAGGTAGAGTAAAACTGAACTTTAAAAAAAAAAAAAAAAAAGGTCCTCTAATGCAGCTCTAAAATCCAATCAGTTGCTATCTTTCAGCCTCATAGATTTTTTGTTAGGGGATACACGCAGCTACTTGATATTTCTATCCATGCTGAAGGAAATCCAAACACACCCCAAATATGCTGCTCTGGCGTAAGGGTTGTGGTGAGCTGAAGGCCACTGAGAAACAGCAGGCACAGAAGACCTCTTTGCTTTCCCTCTTCCTGCCTAGAATCAGGGCAGACATTCCGCTTTGTACTATGTAACTGTACTACGTACTCGGTCATTCCTGTCCTGAGGCTGGCTCTCTTCTGGTGCCACTGCAAGGTTAAAGGTTGAGAATCTTGCTCCTACACTCTCCACAAGGCAGGAAAGATGAATGCTTTTTGAGCCCCCAGCTCTAAGATGCTTGCTACCAGCCCTCCTCACTCAACTTATTGTGAAAGCTCTTGCTGAAGACCTGTGTGCCCGACGTTCCAGATTTGCTGGTTGCAGATGTATTCTCACTTTGGTGACACACGCTCAAATCTTGCTTATGGTGTCAAGTTTTTGGGCGTCGCTGAGCATGTACATGAATGTCTAGTCTGCGCTAACCCAAGAGTGCAATGATCCCCTAAATGAAGCCTTGTCCTGTGCCACAGGATGACACCACCATTGCTCTGAGCCTGAAACAAGACCTCACAGGGGGTCAGCTCAGAATCTGGACTTTCCAGTTGTAATGTTTTTAGAAGACGGACACAGGAGACTGAAAAATAATAGCTTTATTTATGACTGAAGATGTGAAGACATTTACAAAATGCCAAAGAAAACCATTCCTTATTCAATTTTTGAAATCTCAAGAGCCTCTGAGGACTGAACTCCGTATCAGGGAAGAACACCTCTTGCGAACAGACTATTCTTCATACCAACAGTCATGTTTGTTTTCTCAACATCCCACCAGGCCTCGACGCACACTTATCCAGTCTGCTTGCTCGCTGGGTCTCTTAGGAGGCTTGTGCTAGCCACAGCTTCACTACAGTGCCCTCAGACAGAGGTGTGCACGGGATGCATCTATTGGGGTCCCTTCGCGTTACTTTCTCCGAGTACTGATGGCAGCCAGGAGATGAACAGCCAGTAGCATGGAAGAACCAACAAATTAAGGCCTTAAACCTAGGGCAGACAACTCCATTTTCTGGAGCTGAAACAGTGGGCTGGAGAATGCTTTTACAAGAGATCCTCCATGTTCTGTGTACACAGCACACACTGTTGGACTAATTTTATTATATACCTAAATATACAAACTGATTTAGGAGAAAACCTCCAGACTCTTTCCCCATGGGATTGACATAGCCAAAAAGGAAAAATAAGGGAGAGAGCAAATTAATAGCCCTTAGATTTCAAACAGAGTAAGACAGTTTTGTAAGATCTTGGTCAGATGCACGTCAGGGCTGATCCTGCCTCAGTAAAGAGCAGATTTTTTTTTTTTTTACTAACCTACACTGACCACAAAAGCAAGTCGCCAACAGTGGATTGCTGGCAGAGGAAATTGTGGCTGCTTATATCCTAAGGCTTCGATATAAGTAAGCAGCAGCCCACAGTGACCAGTGGTATTGTACGTGGCACAGCTCAGTGACACAGGTGCATGGTAGTGTATCTTTCAGAACATATCCATTGGAAGTACTTACTGAATGCAAATCAGAAATTCATGAAAGGAAAGGCCATTTACAACATAGGGAAGACGACTGTCCCCATACAAAGGGTTCACAATCTGAATTGACCTTTTAAGATGGCAAATAGTGTTAGAGAACACTGTAAACCAACAAATCAAATAGGAAAAAAACAAAGCGATGTAGTACAATATATAATTACTGGAGACTTTTCCCTTCTAGGTAAGATTTTCAGAAAACCCTGGGATAGATTTTATATCACAAAATGGTCCATATCGCCCAAAAATGTCTTTTGACTGGACAGTAAAATAGTATTTGCTGGAAGCCAAAAATTGAGATAAAGTACAGGCCATTGGGAGTGGCAAAGCTTTAATTTCTCCAATTTTCTTCCAAATCAACTTATGATTGGGGTTCTCATGACAGAGAAAGAGGTGATAGCTTTCCACTGGAGCACACTTGGGATTGATTTTGCTGATGTTCCAAGTCAGGGCAATGCCCTTGGGTCTCAGCACCCGTTTCACTTTGAGCTCGGGCTTCTGGGGAGGAAGTGTGTCTCGGATTTTGTCTACCAGTTCAGGCAGGAGTGGTGGTGGCTCTGGGAGAGGTGGCAAGTGCTCAAAGGACTCAACAACCTAGGAAACACATTTGTAAAGTTTAGCAAGCTGAACTGGCCGGTTTTGATTAAAGGGCTTGACTGCAGTTCTAAATATATTTCCTAGTCTCTGATCCATTTATTGAAATCATAAGAACAAAAGGATGCTTCATGAATATGTGGGGCTGGATCCAGTCTTTTCAAGCATAAGCTGCTTATGATTGGCATTAAGATTTCTACACTCTGGAATATCACAAATCCAGAAAGGGTTAGGTCCCAGACACTCTGGACAAATATTCCATCTCATTCCCTAAAAGTGATCAAACACTGTGCTAATTTGCATGAAAAGTGTGAGTGTACAAGAACACCCCATCACCCCTCCACCCTCATCAACAATGGCTAACTACTCTTATAAATATTTTGTTGGGGGCAGCCCTGGTGGCTCAGCGGTTTAGCGCTTCCTGCAGCCGAGGGTGTGATCCTGGAGACCCGGGATCGAGTCCCACGTCAGGCTCCCTGCATGAAGCCTGCTTCTCCCTCTGCTGGTGTCTCTGCCTCTCTCCCTCCTCTTTGTGTATTCTCACGAATAAATAAATAAAATCTTTAAAAAAACATTTTGTTGTGTTAAAATATATGTGTGTGTGTGTGTGTGTGTGTGTGTATAGTTTTAGCTTCTAGTTTCTGGAAAATTAAATTATTTTGATTGCATAAATAAGTAGATGCACAAAAACACATTTTCAAAAAGCACAAGCTGAAATGTGACCCAAATGTTTCTGCGTAAGTAAAATGGGTACTTCCACTCAATGTAGAATGAATATCCCTTAATAGAGCATTTCATATCAGTACCTGGGCTGCATTTTGTGCCACTTGGGTTGTCTCTTTTGCAATCAGAGCAGCTTTTGTAAGTGACTCCAGGGTGGATACTGAACTTTCTGTGAACACAAGGTTTGAGAAGTAAAATTTATCATCGATAATCAATTCCATAGCCTTTAAGCAAAACCAGCTTACATCTTAGGTGGTAACTGAATGTGAACTAAAATTACAAAACTGTGAAATAAGATAATTAACTTTTGATAAAAGTTCAAGACCCAAAGGTGCCAAATATAGAGAATTTCCCTTTAATATGACAGAAATTCCCCTCTTAAGATAAACACCTAAGTCTTTATTTAACCTGGAACTAGGAAAAGTTATACATGGGAGAGGGACCCTTGCTCAGCGTTCTTAGAGGTGCCTTATGCTCTCTTAGGTCAACAGGATGTTTGTAAACACAGAGCCATTTACAATCCAATATAAATATGTGACACACGCAAGTCCTGGGAATCCAAACTAAATATCAGGCAGTCTGAGGGTTAAAGGAAACTCTGCTGCTGCGGCTATGTTAGCCTGGAGGGAATCAGATATACAGCTGACCCTTGAACAACATAAGGCTTGAACTGTGTGGATCCACTTATACATGGATGTTTTTCATTTCACTAAATTCAGTACAGTACTGTAAATCTATTTTCTCTTCCTTGTGATTTTAAGAACATTTTTTTCTCTAGCTTACTTTATTGTGAGAAAACAGTATATAATCCATACAGCATACAAAATAGGTGTTAATTGACGTTTATGTCATTGGTAAAGTTTCTGGTCAACAGTGGCTGTCAGTAGTTAAGTTTTGAGGGAGTTAATAGTTATACGCAGATTTTCAACTGCATGTGGGGTCAGTGACCCTAACCCCACGTTGCTCAGGGTCAAATGTAAATTGTGGTCAAGCGTAAACTGTGGACTGTGGTAAGAGAGAGAGGAGGAAGGAGGGGCAAACAGGTCAATGGAAGAGAGATGGTGAGGGGAAGAAAGGAAAGGGAAAAATAGAGAAACTGTAGGCATCAGGGAGAGAAAGAAGGTTTAAGTAGGTGTTAGAATTATCTAAAACAACTGGGGAGAGGCTATATGGGTGGTGGTTAAGAAACAGGATCTCCTGTTGGGAAGTAGTTAGGCCAGGAAGCTAAAAACTTCACAAGTTTGAATGCGTCTAATAAGCGTCAAAACCATTTTGATCCACTATGTGCACAATGATATAACCGTTGAATAGACATTCTCAATCTCTCCAAACAAAATTTTTTTAATTTATATTTTTCTTGTGACTAACAAGGATAATCCAGATTCTTCATTGTGTTTCAAAGTTAATTCATTAGTCAATTTATCTACTGGTGTAAAGAACCTTTGTATGAGTTGTAAAGACCTCTCAGTTTTAATTATGAGTCTGTAACAGGGTCCCTAACTAGTTAATGCAACTAGAGCTAGACCCGTGAGATCATAACCGGAAGGTGGCGGAAGGACACAGAGGATGTCCAGAGAATGATACTCAAAACATTCTAACAAATAGAACCCCCTCTAACTAACATTCCTTCTTCCAAGGTGGTAAGTCAACTGGTCTTTAAAATAGGGCCGGATAGAAACACAACTTCAGGATGGTAAGAAGAGACAACACAGAACTTTGGTCCCAAACCTGCTCCTGTTTATACCCTGTGCCATCAGCACCCACACCTTCTAAGCACTCTCTAGCTTTTACCCTCATCTATAAACAAATGAGTAAGGATTACTTCAGTCCTTGGAATTCTTGAAGCAGCAGCAGCCAGTAGCCCATTATATAAAGATTACTCTTTAAGCTGCTAGGTGAGAACTGTGACCTCTGGTTGCAACTTAACCTTCTGATGTTTGACCTTCCAGATCCTCTGCCGCATGGATATGCTCATGTACATGTACACACACACACACAAGCATATGTAAATACTTATAATATAAAAATAGTTTTAAAAATTTGGGTTTTTAATGAACCATTCAGATATAATTTACATATAATAAAAATGTATTCATTTTAAATGTGTGATTCCTTGAGTTTTGACAAATGTGGCCTTGTGAAGCCATCACCAAAATCAGGACACAATGTTTTCATCAGACCCCAAGCTGTTCAGGATCCCTTCTCAGGGGATCTCTCTCACTCTGGCCCCGTGAAACCACAGGTTTGCTGTCACTATGGACTAGATTTGACTTTTCTATAAAATTTAATAAAAATCAAATCGCGCAGTACAGAGAATTCTTTGGCCCAACGTAACGTTTCTGAGATTCATCCATGTTGCATATAAAAACATCTTGTTCATTGTTTTTAAAGTGAGCTCCATGCCTAGTGTGGGGCTCAAACTCACAACCTGGAGATCAAGAGGCATGTGCTCCACCAATGGAGCCAGCCAGGTACCCCGTATTGTGTTGTGGACTGTTGAGTAGTATTGGCTGTACAGATAGATATGCCACAACCCATTTATCCATTTATCTGCTGGTGGACATTTGCGCTGCTTCCAGTTCGGGACAATTTTGACTAAGTTGTGTAGGAGTCTGTGTAGATATAGGTTTTCATTTCTCAGGTAAATACCTACGACTAACACTGTCACACTGTCACAATATAGTTAATATTTGGAGGAACTGCTCAGCCACTTAAAGGGGTTTTACCATTTCACATTCCTCCCACAAAAGCCTAAGAGTTCCAGGTTGCTCCACATCCTGCCAACACTTTGTGTATTTCAGTTTTCATTTTCATCATTGTACTAGATAAGCTGTGGCATCTCACATGGTCTCCATTTCCCTGGTGAGTAACGATGATGAGGATAATGTCTTCTTGTGGCTTGTGCCATTCCCCCCATCTTCTACAGTGAAGTATCCTTTACCTGCTTTGGGTTTAATTTGTTCTTTTTTCCCCCTAGCATCTTAAGAGAGAAGCTTAGATTGCCCATGTGGGGCTTGATCTCATAACCATGAGATCATGACCTGAGTTGGCCAAGAGTTGGACATCAACCAACTGCAACACCCAGGCACCCCTCTTTTTGATAATGAAGATTTGCCAGCAACAAACTTTATCTGAAAAAAACTTAATTTTGCTTTCACTTTTGAAAGATATACTTGGTGGATATAGAATTCTAGGTTAAGGGTTTCTTTAGCCTCTCAATGATGTCATTTGACTATCATTTGGTTTGCACAGTTCCAATTGATAAAACTGTGAATTCTTTGTTCTTCTCTATATTTTATGATATAAAAAAAACTTTTTTAAGAAAAAAAAATTTTTTTTTGTTTGCTTTTAAGGTTTTTCTCTTTATCCCTGGTTTCCAGAAATGGAGACTATGATGTATCTTGATATGATTTTCTTTGTATTTATCCCGCTTGGAATTTATTGAAGTCCTCAATTATGTGGATTTGTACTTTTCATTAAATTTAGAAGGCTTCTGACCATACAATTATGGTGGATCACTTGATTTTATCCCACATTCATTTAAAGTTTGATTCCCTTTTCCTAGCCTTCTTTTTCTCTTTTTAATCCTCCTTTAAATTGGATAGTTTCTTTCCAAACTATTTGGTCAGGTACTATTTCCTCCAGTTTACCAATTTGTTTTGTCCTTCTTCAGTGTGTAATAAGCTGTTTATATTCCATCCATGGAACTTTAAGTATTTTCTTTTTAAAAATTTGGTTCTAGGGCAGCCTGGGTGGCTCAGCAGTTTAGTGCCATCTTCAGCCCAGGCTGTGGTCCTGGAGACCTGGGATTGAGTCGCACATCAGGCTCCCTGCATGGAGCTTGCTTTTCCCTCTGCCTCTCTCTCTCTCTCTCTCTCTCTCTGTGTGTCTCTCATGAATAAATATATAGAATTTTAAAAAATTTTTGGTTCTCTTTTATATCTTTTATTTCATTATGTTGTTTACTTTTTATCTTTGAGCATATTTCTTTCTTTTTTAAAGATTTTATTTATTCATGAGAGAGAGAGAGAGAGAAAAGCAGGCAGAGACACAGGCTGAGGGAGAAGCAGGCTCCATGCAGGGAGCCTGATGCGGGACTCGATCCTGGGGCTCCAGGATCATGCCCTGGGTCAAAGTTAGGTGCTAGGGCAGCCCGGGTGGCTCAGCAGTTTAGCGCCGCCTTCAGCCCAGGGCGTGATCCTGGAGTCCTGGGATCGAGTCCCACGTCGGGCTCCCTGCGTGGAGCCTGCTTCTCCCTCGGCCTGTGTCTCTGCCTCTCTCTCTCTCTTCTCTGTGTATTCTCATGAATAAATAAATAAAATCTTAAAAAAAAAAAAAAGTTAGGTGCTAGACCACTGAGCCACCCAGGGATTCCCTCTTTCTTCTTTTATTACATTTTTAAAATTTTATTTTTCTATGTAATCTTGGCCCCCAGTGTGGGGCCCGAACTCATGTCCTCAAGATCAAGAGTTACATGCTTTACTAACTAAACCAGCCAAGTATCCCACTTTGAGCATATTTCTATCAGCTCCTTCAAAGTCCTGGTCTGCTAGTTGTCATCTCTGTTGTTTCTGAGTTTGTTTCCATTGACTGATTTTTCTCCTGGTTATAGATTCCATTTTTTGTCTCTGTATCTCTAGTGATTTTTTAAAATTGGATGATGGATATTATAAATTTTAAATGGTTGTGGGTTGAATTCCGTTCTCCAGAACACAGTGGGCTTTGTGTGATAAGCTATTGAGTTATATGTAGTTCAATTTGATCCTTTCAAAGTTTGTTTTTAGGTTTTTTTTTTTTTTAAAGATTTTATTTATTTATTCATAAGAGTCAGAGAGAGAGAGGGAGAGAGAGAGAAAGGCAGAGAAAAGCAGGCTCCACGCAGGTAGCCTGACGTGGGACTCGATCCTGGGACTCCAGGATCACGCCCTGGGCTGAAGGCGGTGCTAAACCGCTGAGCCACCCAGGCTGCCCTGTTTTTAGGTTTTATTAGGGTAAGGCCATAGTTGCCTTTGTTCTAAGATGAGTTTACACCCAGGTATTCAGTAAGAATCTGGCACTACAGCTGGTCAGAACTGAACATTTCTCACCCCTGAGCATAAAGCTCTTTGGTCATTCTTTGCCAATATTTATGGGGTTTTACTCTATGCATGTGGGGCTTAATACTTCAGAGCAAAGACTCAAGAGGACTCTATGCTAACCTCTTGGGAGTTTTTTTCTGAGTGCCTTCCTCATCCTGATGTTATGCTCTTCCCCTTCATTCTAGTTGCCTCAGCCTCTCTGAATGCCAATCTCTCTCTCTTGACCTCAATAAGACAGCCACGCTCTGCCAGACATTCTCTGCTTGGCAGTTCCTCCACTGTACCACAGTCTAGGAAGAAAGCTAGGGCAATCCATACAGTTCATCTCACTTATTCCCTTCTCTCAGGGACTGTAGTCCTATACTGCAATATCTGAAAAGGTTTTTTTTTTTTTTTATTACATCTTATTTAGTTTTCTAGTTGTTTATGGCAGAAAAGTTATGTCTGGGCTCTTTACTCCCATTACTACTCTCTCAAAATACGTTTATAACTTTTTTCTCATTACATTACTAACATGTTTACATCAACACGTGTACTTCTTCTACAACGTTATTTTTAATGGTTGAATACTGCTGTACCATATAAATCTAATTTGTGTAATTAGTCCTTTATTTCTAGAAATTTAAGGGTTTCCAAAGTTTAATTTTTCACAAATAGCACTGTGATGAACATTTTCATACTTCCCTATATACTTAACCTTAGTTTCTTTAGGTAACTATTCAAAGAATTTGGGGGTCAAAGGCTTGTATATTTCTAAAGTTTCTGATGTTGACAAAATACCTCCCCAGAAAGATTTATACTCCCATTCAGAATATGGAAACTTACAGTTCCTTTAAAACTCTTCAGTGGAAAATCTGCTGCATTAATTTAGTATTTGGGGGGTAAAGTATACTATAGGCTAAGCACTGTACTAAAAGGATGGAAAGTTACAGATTAGGAAGTCTGATGCTGCTGAAAAGAATCTCAAGTCCTCTCAGGAAGACAGATGAAAAGAAACAATTACAGAGCAATGTAATACAGCTATAATCTAGGTGTGCACTAAATACCAATGGTAAGGAGAACCTAGAAGTAACAGTACAATCTAAGTGTCTAATGGGAGTATGAAAGGATGATGAGTGGGGTCATCAGACACACCTGGGGAGAGACAGAGAGGACAGCATTCCTGGCAAAGATAACTATGCAGAGGTGGTAAGGAGAGGAGAAGCATTACCTATTGAGAAGCTATTAAGGCACAGGTAAGGAATTTGTAGAACATAAGCTAGAAAATTTTTCAGGGTCTAATTCATTAAGGAGTCTGTCTTGCTAAAGAGTTTGGATTTTATCCTACAGATAAAAGCAAAATCAGATATGTCTATAGGAAGGAGCGTTTCAGTGGCAGCTTGGGAGACTCAAAAGAAGCAGTTTAAGTTAGGGCAGAAAAATTGGTTACTTGCTAAGTTATGGCAGTAGAATAGGCAAAAAGTGATGGAATTCTGAAATAAGGAAATACATGGACCAGACCTGTTAGCTTTAAAGGAGACAGAATTGGTGGCCTTGAAAACTGACTGCACAGTGGAATGAGGCAGATCAAAGAGTCCAAAGTGACTCTTTCATGTCTAGCTTAGGGAAGCTGGGCCAGCTGGTGATACCATTCATCAAGGAATATGGGAACAGCCCAGGTTCAACCTGACAAACCATACCTTTGTTCAGAACTGGACACTCTACAAGGTGAACAGATCCACGCTGTTATGAGTCAGCAGCATGTCCAACTGTTAGATTTCAAACTAACCCCCCCCCCCAAGTTAGAGGGTCTGATTTATTAAGCACTGAATGGATCGGTGTTCCTACTTTTTATTTTACTGTATCTCAAATCCTGTACTCTAGAGTGTGGAAATGATTTAATAATCTTAATGAAAAAGTAACTGTTTATTCTAGATTCCCAATTCATTTGTCAAATTTATATTTCTCATTTTCATCAGGAAACTGGAAACTGAAGGGTTTTTTAATTATATCATGAGGTACCTGGAGATTCCTATGGTTCTAACCTTTGTTTGAATCCACAGTTGAAAGGGGAGAAGGAATTGGCTATGTATTTCCTATGGTACTCTCCATTTTTAAGTATTATATACTTTTCAATGCTAAAAAAGTGATATTCTAAGATTTTTATCAAGAGTATCAAGAACATTCAAGGGCAATTATTAAGAGATGAAACTTTATAACTTATAACTAGCTCCAGATGACTTTAATTTTACCTCTTCCTGTTTAAATCTAAGAAAGAGGGCCCTGTAATCATTCTTCTTCTACATTTTTATATTATGCCCTAGTACCCTCTCATAGTATTAATGATCTAAAGAAAAAAGGTGTGTACCAGAAATGAGATTCATAATAGCCCCAAACAACCCAGCTATCTTTCAGTGAGTGAACACATAAACTATTATACATCTATACTATGGAATACCACTCAACAACAAAAAGGAATGCTACTGATATGCAACTTTGATGACCCGTGGGGGAATTATGCTAAGGAAAAGAGGCCAATCTCAAAAAGATACACACTGTATCATCATATAACACCCAAGGATAGTTGTGTAATTTGATTGTGGTGACCATTCCATCAATCTATACATGATAAAACTACATACAGCTATACACACACACACATTAAAACAAACTTTATAAATGGGTCAAATGCTTTTTGAACAGTCACCTTCCCTCTTTCTTAAAAAGAAACACTTACTTTTGTTGTACTTTGATAAGGCTTCTTTTGTCACATCAACCACAGAATCAAATTTCTTCTTCTCTACAGCCTGAAAAGTTGTTAAAAAACTAAGATTTTGCCTCAGTAGCACAAAATATTTTTGAAAAAGAAAACACAGATTTTAAATTACCATTTATAAGCTGGGAGATTATCCTGTAAATTCTTACAGTTTAACACTATTAGGAGAGAGAAGGTCATGAAATACTATATGGTTTCTGCGAATACAACTAGGCAAAGTGTGAGTTAGTTTGGTAAATAAGTAGTCTTTTGAAATATGTTTGTCACTGTTTGCTTTAATGTTTAAGCTAGACTGGAAACTGGGTATACTAACTAGTCAAGCATTAATTTCACAGACAATGAATCTCCCAAACAACGAATGACAAAACTAAGTCCATCTTTCCCGGGTAGCAACACTAAAGTTCCCAGAAAACGAACATACTCAAATGAACAACATTCAGAGGCAATATTTATTACCTACCGTAACTTCTGTTTCAGCACGAAGTGAATTGTTAGAATTTCCTGATGTAGTTTTTCCAGTATCTGAAAGAAAATTATTAAAATATCAACATTTGGCAAATTTATTAAGCTATTAAATATTTATGAACTTTATAACATATGAATGCTGAAACAATAATAATGAGGATTCTCATTAACCATTTATTACATAATCACAAAAATGTAATTCAATTGACATCTATTCTAAAGACCAAGGAACCAATTGAAACAAAAAAAAATGTAATTTGAGTTTAAAAGATTTTGTCCTGTAACTTTACAACTATATTAGTTTTTCTGAAAATCCATCTGTAAATTAATATGTAAATTAATATGGCATTTGAATTTTTTTTATTTATTTATGATAGTCACACACAGAGAGAGAGAGAGGCAGAGACACAGGCAGAGGGAAAAGCAGGCTCCATGCACCGGGAGCCCGACGTGGGACTCGATCCCGGGTCTCCAGGATCACGCCCTGGGCCAAAGGCAGGCGCCAAACCGCTGAGCCACCCAGGGATCCCTAATATGGCATTTGAGAAAACGGACTTGGAAATGTAGTTTTTCTTTTTCTTTTTTTTTTTTTTTAACATTTTATTTATTTATTCATAGAGACACAGAGAGAGAGAGAGGCAGAGACACAGGCAGAGGGAGAAGCAGGCTCCATGCAGGGAGCCTGATGTGGGACTCGATCCCGGGTCTCTGGGATCATGCCCTGGGCTGGAGGCGGCGCTAAACCCGCTGAGCCACCAGGATGCCCAAATGTAGTTTTTCTTCATAGTATCTCTAAATCAGACTCTGGAGATAGCTGAGGGGCATTCTATCTAGAACAGGAGAAAAACCTCAGATAAATGCTTATTATCCCTTGTAACTATCTGATTCACGATCTTAACAGTCCAAGCCTTGGGGGCAATTGAATAGCTATGTAAGTGATGGGAAAGCTTTCTGAAATCAAGATACAAATACTCTAAAATAGTTAACAAAGAAAAGGAAATGGGGAATTTTGAATGAGAACTTATAGGCCAACAAGAGAGCCATTTTAAGAGAGAGGAACTTTATTAGAAACCTGAGGTTAAAGACTTTTACGTAAATGTAATAAGACAGAAACACCAAAGAGGAACAAAGTACTCTCAAAAAGCCAAAAGTTAAAACAAATAAAAGATGCTAAAGAATAGTCAAACTTTAAATCTTAAGATAAAACAAACATAAACATGAACCAAAGTATTACCATCATCACAGGCCACAGCAAACAGAGAAGAATAATGTATATGAAAGGTTAAGTAGTTTTCTAACTTACAAATCCATTAAGCACAGTAAACAAACAAAAGGTCATAAATTGATAAACACAAGGGTAAAAAACTCCTCAATTATAGTTAGGAAATCATTTATTTGTTCAGATATTAATCACAGATATAAATTAAAACATTTTTGAAAGTAGAGTTTTTTATTGAAAGATAATGTTCAATTCTCTATTTTAGACAAATACTGACTTGAAGCTTTCTAATTTCATAGATCATATTTTAATCAACTTAAGATACCTGTTGGATTTGATGTAATTGGAGTTGTCAAATTAGGACTTTCCAGAGAAATCAACATAACATCATCGTTACTAAAATGATAAGAAAATTAAAAACAAAAATAAACTAAACATGTATTATCAAGTTGAAACATGTAATTAATGGTTAGAATTCTTCTGACTTAACATTTCATAACTGACATGTTTTAATCTAACAATTGTGGTGGAGAATTGGAGATAAAACTAAATGCCCAAAAAACCCTATGTGTTGCCAATTATATGACCAAAAGTGTCCAATATAGTGGATCCTTAAAACTTACTAGAAACTCATTTACAATGAATCCAAATATATAACCTATAAGCATTCAATACACATAAATGTACAAAATATGCAAAAGTCACTCTAGCACATATACTTGCCTTCATGAAAATGAGAAGTGTAATTGAAAAAAAAACAGTAAGACACTTTGACTCTTACACAGGACTGTAAAAAATAAGGCCGTTAAAAAATTAGTCCTGCCACAATTCTACGTTACATCACTACAGTAGAAATACTGACCACATACTTACTAAACTAAGCAAAGATGGTAAATGACAATGATTATGATTACTGCTCCCATTTGACCCTGACTCCACTTTCATGAGTTTGACATTCACATCAGAATCTTTGTTAAGAAGATCTTGACACAGATTTCATGGAGCCTATAAAATTGCTAGATGAATTTTCTATGCACAGAGTTATACCACTTTCTTATAGATGTTTTTAATTTTTAGCTTTTGTATTTAGGTCTATGATCCACTTCAAATTATTTTTGTATATGGTGTGAGGTAGGAAGGGAGGTTCACTCTTCCCCTCTGGATATTCCTGCAACAGCTGTTGAAAAAAAACTATCTTTTCTTCAACAAATTACCTTGGCATCTTCATTGAAAACCGATGGATGATAGAGAATAGTCTCTAATCTGTCCATCGATTTGGTAGGTCTCTCCTAAGACAACACTATTGTCTTAATTACTTTAACTTTATAGAAGTCTTAAACTTAGGTAGTGTCTTCCAACTTTGTTTCTAACACTGTTTTCCTCTTGTAGGTCTTCAACAACTCCATTTCCTATAAGTTTTTAATCAGCTTGTTACTTTCTCTTTTAATTGTTTATTTTTTTATTTTATTTATTTATTTTTTTTTTATTTATGATAGTCAGAGAGAGAGAGAGAGGCAGAGACACAGGCAGAGGGAAAAGCAGGCTCCATGCACCGGGAGCCCGATGTGGGATTCGATCCCGGGTCTCCAGGATTGCGCCCTGGGCCAAAGGCAGGCGCTAAACCGCAGCACCACCCAGGGATCCCAGCTTGTTACTTTCTATTTAAAAAAGGCTGCCAAGATTTTGATTTAGATTGCATTAAATGTACAAAATGATTTGGGTGATGTAACATCAATAATGAATTCTCTGATTTGTAAACATGACATATCTCACCAAATATTTAAGTCTCCTTTCATTTTTCTCAACTTTTTATATATTTAAAAATTAAACTATTTTAAGAACAGTTTTAGGTTTATAGCAAAATTAACTGGAAGGTACAGAGCGTTCCCATAAACCTACTATCTCTAACCAACTGCCCCACGCATGCTTCCCCACCAAAATCCTACACCACAGGTATGCTTGTTGCAAAGAATGAACCTACACTTGATACATCATCATCACCATCATGATCAAACTCCACAGTCTACTACAGAGTTCACTCTTAGGGTATACATTCCACATACTATAAATGTACAACGATATATATTCATCATTACAGTATCACACAGAATAGTTTCTCTGTGATAAAAATCCCTTTGCTCTGCCTATTCATTCCTCCCCATTAAGCCCTGGCAGTATTGGATCTTTTTATGGTCTCCATTGTTTTGCCTTTTCTAGAATGTCATGTACTTGGACTCATACAGTATGTAGCCTTCTCACTCTAATCTTTTTCGTTTTGTAATATGCATTTAAGTTTCCTGTGTCTTTTCATAGCTCATTTCTTTTTTAGTACTGAATAACATTCCATTGTCTCAATGTAATGATTTATTTATCCATTCACCTACGGAGGGACATCTTGGTTGCATCCGAGTTTTGGCAATTATGAATAAAATTGCACTGTATAGGATTCTCCTCTCCTTTCTTAGCCTATCAATTCTACTTCCTTTTTGCAATATACATTTACAGCTAACTCAAGTCCACTTTCAAATAATACTATCCGGCTTCACAAATAAGTGAAGTACCTTCCTTTTCCATTTCTTTTATACTATCCACCTTTTTTCCCTACTTTTTTCATTGAAGCCCTTTGCAAATAGTTTTTTTCAAAATTCTTGGTCTGATAATGTGAACATTTCTGTCATATCTGACTCTGCTTCTGATGCTTATTTAGTCTCTTCAAATTGTGGGGGGGGGTTGCCTTTTAGTATGTTTTATGGTATTTTGTTGAACAGTGGACATGATGCACTAGGTAAAAGGAATATGATAAATGGGCCTTTAGTAACGTAGTGGCTCTACTAATCCTATGATTAGCTCTGTCTTCATGGGTTTATTTGTGTGATGAGTACTATATAGCAACAAGAATGAATAAATTATTGCAGCTAAGCAACAGCACAGGTGACCCTCATAACACAGTGTTGGGCAAAAAAGACACCTAAGAGTTCAGAGTATGACTCCATTTATATAAACATGAAAACTAAACAAAAACAATTTATAAGTAAGCCTACACCCCTGGAGTGTAAACTTCACCAGTGCTTCTCGACTGCCTGTCTGCTTTAGGTGGGACAGAATGGATGGAGGAGTTGGGGATTCACTTCCTCCATGTGGAAGGCTAGCGGGAGCAGGAGTTGGGCTCTAGTAGTAGTTTCTCCCTAGGACAGGCCTTGTTAAGAACAGAGTGGTCTGGTACATTTCAAAGGCTCCTTTCACCAACTGGCTGCTGCAGGCGGGAGGTATTTTCTCCAGGATTCACTGTAAGGACCTGGTAGCGCTCCTGGAGGTAAAACAAAATTATGGGCTCCCCTGGAGTTTTTAACTCTTGATGTGTCTATCAAGGCAAATAAGTTTAGGTTTTCCTAAACTGGCACTGGTTCCCATGGAAGTTTCTGCTTTTGGGTTTCTGCTCTCGTTCCCAAATGTTGTGATTATCATTTCTGCCTCTGTCGTCGCTCCAACTTTGGAGGCAGTGTTTTGCTCAGTGACTTTACTTATCTAACGGATTTAAAAGGAGGTGCTGGTTTTTTCAGTTTGTAAGACTCCTTATGTGCTAGATCACAAATCTGAAATCTACTTTGTAGTTTTGAGGTTAGGTCTTACAGATATTTTGATAATCTTATCTCTCTGTATATCATGTTCTTTAATGTTATTGTAAATAGTATTGATTTAAAATTTTAAATTCCAACTATTTGTTGCCTATATACAGAAAAACTATAAATAGTATGATTTATATATCCTCCCACATAATATACAGGAATAGTATGATGTACACATATATATACACAGAAATATATTTTCTATTACCCACATGTTTATAATATCCAGCACTCTTCATCTCTTTACCTTTGCAAATTTCCATCTAGTTTTATTTTCCTTCTTCCTGTAAAACTTCCTTTAACAATTCCTGCAGTGCAGGTCTCCTGCTGATGTATTCTCCACACATGCCCCCCCCCACCTTTTTTTTAGTGTGAAAATGTGTTTTCCCCTACATGTCTGAAAGATATTTTCACAGAGTATAGAAATTTTAATGGGTAGTTTTTCTTTCAATGTCTTAGAGATGTCCCTGTATTTCAATGCTTTAGAGATGTCTTTTAGTTTAAATAGTGCTCAAGAAGTCTCTTGGTCTTATCTTTTTACTCCTTTCTGTATGATGAGTCTTTTCTCTCTGGCTGTTTTTAAGATTTTCTTGTCACTACTGGCTTTCACCAGTCTGATTATGTGGTTTTCCTTTAATCTTTATAACTTTTTTTTTTTTTTAACATTTGTGGGTTTTGAATTTTTAACAAATTTGGAAAATTTTTAGATTTAACATCTTTGCTCCCTTCTCCCAACTGGTGAAACTTCAATGATTTTATATATATATATATTAGACTCCTTGATACTGTTCCAAAGGTCTTTGCTGTTCTGTTCATTGTTTTAGTCTTTTTTCTCCCCATGCTTTTGTTTAAAGTTTATATTGCTATTCCACTGTCTTTAAAAATCAGTAATTACCTATCCTGTTGTTAATCCTAATCAATGTACTCTTGACTCTTCAGTTTTTGTCTTTTTCATCTCTAGAAGTTCAATTTTTCTTTTTAACATCTTCTATTTTCACATTTTCCTTTTTACTGTTGGGACATGAACACTATCCTGATAATAGGTGCTTTACCTCATTGTTGTCCATCAAACATATTGTTTCTAGCATATCTGTTTTCTCATTGCTATATTTTGCTACTTTACATGCCTGGTAATTTTTGATTAGATGCCAGACATTGTAAAATTCACACAAATGATGGATGATGTTTCATTCTTTCAAAGAGTGCTGGACTTTATTCTGGTATGCAGTTAAATTACTCAGGATTAGTTGTATCCTCTGTATTCTTTTAGCTTTTCGGGAGTAGGCCCACTGCAGTCCTTAGTCTAGGACTAGGTCACCCTCACTATTATGTCTACCTAAGGACTCTTTACTGTTACTCCATATTATAAGTTTTTTCATTATAGCTAGTAGGGAAAACAAAATGTTCCCAGCCCTGTACAATATCCAAGACATGTTTGGTCTTCTTTTCAATGTTTTTTTTCCCTGGCCTCTTGTAGTTTCAGTCTTTGCATGCATAGATCTGTATGCAGCCAATGATTTAAGAGGTTCTCTTTGGAGATCAACAGAGTTCTACCTTTACACAATTTGCTTTCTTCATTGTTCCTCCGCACAAAGTCTTAGCCAACTCAGACTCCCCAATCTCTGATCTAAATGTGGTAAGACCTCTAAGGCTGTTTGAGCTCTTCCTGCCCTTGTCCTTCAACCTGTGAAATGCCTCCAGGGAGTAATCTTGAACAATGGTAGAGTGCATTTCACACTTTTCCTTCTCCCAGGGAGAGAGTTTTTGCTC